AACACTAAATTGAAAAAAAATATTAAAAAAAACCCAAAACTTTAAAAACCTAAAGAGAGTCTCTCCTGAGCCATCTCAAAACTGAAACTGTTTTCTTTTTCTTCTGCTCAAAGACGTGCAGGCAATAAACTAATAAAGCATTTACTTGTCAATTTAATGGCCCTCTCCATGTTCTCTATTTGTATCTACTGGGTAGAGTTGAAGTAAATGTTCTGGCTATAACCCATCCAGGGGGAACTGGTGCCAACATCATTATTTTGGAAGTCGCCTGCTTAGTAGCAAGTGATCAAGGAATACAATGGATAGCTTTGAAGTAGCCAAATGCAGATGATTACCTCACTCTGGCAAATGATTTCATTAAAGGTTCAGAGGACTGGATGGAAGATGGACAGGGAAGATATCTTTCAGGACACTGAAGTCTCTGGCTTAGTAAGGAACTCCTCTCCCTCTTCCCCCTCTTGGCGGGACTCTTGTAGGACCCCGATAGAGTTTTCCATAAGCAGAAGACTGAGCTGGGGCCCCCCAGTTAAGGCCTGCTCCTGAGCTGCTGGCTCCACTGGTTCCTGGCCCCAGCTCCCCATAGTTTTGCAATTTGGTCTCTGCATGTGCCACAGAGTTGCTGCTTCCCTCAGCCTTCAGGAATGGTTGCCCGACCACTGAGTGTATTGCTAAGGGGACCCTGGCAAAACGGAGGTCCTGGTCCCCTGGAAACTGCACTGACCCTGTACCCTGGTAACTGCTGGACTCCCCAAGGTGGCTCACAGAGCCCGAGAAGGTCCTGTTCTTCACCAGGGTCTGGGCCAAGGATTCTGTCACAGCTGGACCAGAGTTGCGTTCATCAGTGTCAGTGGCACTGAACCCTGTTTCAGGCCCATCAGTGTTTCCATATGTCCTGTTGGGATGGGGTCGGGTGGAGTATTCCATTGGTCTCATGGCCTGGTGCTCATGTGGCAGGTGGCCAGAAGGCTCTGCTTCAGGCTGGGATAAAAGTTGCAGCAAGGCGGCTGTCACGGCTGGGTTCAACTCCTGGGGGGCGCCGGAAAGATCGCCTTCAACCAGAGGGGGTGGAGGTGGCGGCGGTGGAGGTCCAGGGGGCTCAGGGGGCCTCTTCTCTGGTGGAAGAATGTGAGGAGGACATGCTGTGGAAGGGTTACTTCTTTTAAACACCATCTTAAAAATCACATGTGATTATAAACACAAACACACACACACACATACATACTGCCCAACATAAACATATCAATACAAGTAACCAAAATATATATAGAATAAAATCTTGGGATCAGGAAATGTCAATTTATAAATAAAATCAAGTGATTAATAGCAAAACAGTTGTATTCTGGATCTAACAGCTGGTGTAAAAAGATCATGTTTCAAATATTGTTCTGATTTTTGTCTGAGATTTCCTCCATTTCCTTCCTTAGAGAACTGTTCTAATATGTAGGCTGTTGGCAGCCTCCTGCCCATTTTTGCTGTTGAATCAAAACATTAATGAAAGTAAAGTAGAAAGAAAGAAGATGAGAGGGAACAATACACATGCTATAGTCACATTTCTAGGACATAATCTTGCTGTACAATAGGAGACCTTGCATGGACTCAACTAATACATTTTACAGAATGTTTAATAATATAAGGTTAATATCTGAAATAGAACTTAAAGAACATACAGGAGAGATGAAATTAAAAAAAAAAACAAAAACAAACCAAAAAACCTTTCATTATCATCATGTACACTTGCTTCTCCAAAGTTCAGTTCCCTCCCCATAACCACATTCTAAAGAAAGGAATGTTAACCACCACTGTCATTCAGTTTCCTATGTTACAGTAATTATAAAGACTGAAGTGATTATCTATTATAGTTTTCTATTTTGTTTCCCAATCTCCTGCATTTTTTCCATGCTATGACAAAAATTATTGTAGCAATATCATGCAGAGTGGACTGTTAACATCTACTTATCTTGGAGACAGTGATAAGAACCAAATATTCAAAAATGTATTAAACTAATACTACATTCTGAATTTCCAAAGATCTTTGTCTTTTTTGAACTACTCCGAAGACTTTGTCCTGCAACTGCTAGCTTACTTTGCCCAAGCATGCCAATCATTGTCTGAAAATGAACTCCTGCCAAGACAGCAGAGTAGAGATGTAAAATGGCATGAGTCTTGAGAACATATAAAACCAAGTTGAGTCAAAACAGTGCATTTAGAGAGTTGGAAGTCACCCCGCTGAAGAAAATGCTTAATGTTTTGGGATATCTTCCAAATGATGGATTTTTTTTCCTTATGGAAACATATTTTGAAATGTCCATATAGTCAATTCTTTTTATCTGAGCTAGTGATATAAAGTTATTACTCAAACAAGCAAAAAGTGGTTTTTAGTTATTATTTTGGTAGCATATTTACCACAATTATATTTTGCAAATATAATCAATAAAGTAAGTACGTACTTCCTTAGTGTGCAGATGGAAGCACTATGAAAACACCACAAAACTGTCAGGGTATGCAGTGGAAGGATGAGGTCAGATACTATGTGTAATATATATAAGTAGGGCAACCAATGACCCCAAATTTACCCAGGACTGCTAAGAGGGTTCCCAAATTGCCAACTCTCACTTTTAAAACCAGGACTGTGCAGGGTTAGGTTGGTTACCCTATAAATAGTACCTGCCCGAGTAACTTACTGACAGACTGGCTGATTGACTAGGTGGTAGGGAAAAAATGAATTTAAGGACAAAAAATGAGCTATGAAAAACTCATAACCTGAAAAGTAGGCATCCTGAAAAAGGAGAGCTAACTAGACTACAAACATCTATAAATTTCAGAACTTTTTAATGTCAACGCTACATATCTCACTACATAAAAACATCACAGTACCAGTTATTTTTAAAAGTATTTTTTGGACAATACATGAAATGGAACACCGGGCTGTTGTTGTTTTTAACACTGGGGGCAGACAATTTTAAAAATGCCCAAATGCAAAAGCTGTCAAAACTAAACTTACACTTTTCCAGGTTTACTACTTTTCACATTTAAATTCTGTCTTTTATGTAACTAGCCTAGTTGTTTCCATGGAATTAATTCTTGAGCTCAATTTCACATTTATGAGAAGATAAAAACTATTTCAAAGCAGCAAAAGCAGATGGATTGTAAAAACTATTAAAGGTTAATAAAACTTCTTAAAGGAATTAAAAATGAAGATCACATTAAAAATCATACTAAGATTTAAAGTGTTAACAATATTACCAACCCTTAACAGTCTGTACTAATGGAGGACGATATTAATGAAATGTACAAATAACTTAAAAACTTTATTTGACTCATCAGATATCAACCATAACCTTTCCCCAACAAGTACAGAGAAGCTAAACAGTAGCCAAAGTGACAGATTTTCACCTTCTCTGGTTTACGTAGTCTGCCCTCTGGTGGAAGTGCTAATGAACAGTAAAATGGCCTTAAGAGAGGCAGCAGGGGACAAACATGGGAGACATAGGAAACACCAACTGGTTAACTCAGGGGTGAATGTAATTATCAGAAGTGGCATTTTTACTCTCCTCTGAAAAGTAAACTCAACAATTTTTGGCTATAAGCCAGGCCTTAATTTTAGATCATTTCATCATTTAGCTGATAGCTTGTTGGCTCAATTATTAAGTGAATTTCTTTCAATCACTGTATTATTTAATTTGAACCACTTCTTTCAGGTATTTTGATTATAGCTAATTTTTTTTTGAGAGACATGGGAGGTGGGTGTGAGATGATACAAGGAGGCTTGCTTTAATTCTAAATTAGCTTTCTCTTATTCCATGTTTTGGAGTCTCTTAAAAAAAAAACAACAACTGGAATCAGACGACAGGATAGTAAAGTGAATTAAGAAACACAATTAAGAAGGTGCACAAATTCTAAGTTCTGGCTCTGCCAATAATATGGTTCCAGCAGTGGGACCATAGGTAGGCTAATTTAAATTCCCTGCATTGCAGTTTTCCTATCTGTAAAGTACAGGGATTAATTTCATTTATGTTATCTTCCAGTTTTAATGAGCTTTGCATATGAAAAATAGCTTATATTTTGACCCTATATCAGTGGGAATAAGGCATATACTTTCTGCAACATCCCATATAAAACGTGAATGCAGAACCCTGAAGTTAAGGTTAGTGAATCTCTTCAACCCTTGTACTTCTTCTCATTCCCCAATTCATGAGGTCTTCATGGACAGTGAATATTTCCAAGAAGCTGAAAACACTTTTTAGATAAGGTTTTGCAAACAGACTGTGAATCAGAATTGTTTAGAAAAAACTTCTTTTCCTTCTAATAAACAGCATGCTGTGGTCATGTAAGATCAAAGTATAACTTATTTCTTTTTTCTCAGTTTTTCTTTATATAATGCTAATTTCCTAATCTAAAATCCATTCAATTGTCTCTTTCAGGAACACAGCTTTTAAAGGAATCATTTTTATATGCTATTAGTTTTTGAAAAGGAAACGTATAGTGTTAATTATTTACTTAGAAATATTCCCAGATTAGTTTTCAGGAGATTAACAGTGATATTTTATTAGGATTTTCTTGAATGTACCTTTCAGACAAGAGTCTGATATCCAGCATCCACTGCACTAGAGTAACATTTACTATTTGCACAATCTGATGATGATTTGTTTGAAGGCAGATTTTCAAGTGTGAGTATTAGTTGGCCACTATACACACAGTGGTTCAAATGCATCACTAGCTATGGATGTGGTTTCTGTGGGCTAGAACACAGGGGCTTTACTTACCTACCTCCTAGGAAATAGAAAAACAATCAGTATATGAAAGGTGCTTTGAGAAGCTTTGAGACTTAAATAAAAGAAGCCAGGCAAGAAATGCATCACTTGTTGGTATGTTCTCCTGTAGACTAGGTTACAGAAAAACTGAAACCGAGGCCATTGATGTGAAAAGGGAAATATTAAAGAAACTTTTTAAGAGGATCAACAGCACCTGAGCTCAATGAGATTCATGACCGGTCTGTTTACCTGCTGCCTCCTCCTGTGGCATTGTGGGAGTTCTTCGGGGCCCCTGTGGCCCACTGTTCTTGTCACTGTTGTTTTCCTCCAGGTTGCCTGCTGGCTCCTGGGTTTTCATCAGTTGACTCAAGAGAACTGCCAACATATTCTGCATGTCAGCTGGTGTGCTTGAAGCTTCAGGGGTCTTCTGTTCTGCTGACGGCTGGACCACTGGAGCAGGGGGTGCCTCCTTCAAAGATTCTTCTGGGGCCAGGGGCTCTGAGTCCTGCTGCTGGGAAGTGGCTTCCGTTAGGGCATTGAGAGATTGGTTCAGGGCCTCCAGCTGCTGCTGTATCTCGGGGTTGGAGTGGATATTAAGCAGCTGTGCCATTTGAGGGATGCTTAGGTCAGTTTGGCTCTGCAGCAGGTTCAATAACACTGCCAATTCACTTTGATTCAATTGTTGTGTGATGTCACCGAGGCCTGTGGGGAGAGTGAAACCAATATAAGAGGATGAGGCAGGGCAAAGAATTTTTGCTTTCTTCAGCTGACATTAGCAACTTATAACATCCAGCGAACGACATTTCATTTTGAATGTCTCATTTTTCATGCCTCGGATCATCAAAACACATTGTTATTCTTAAATTACTGCTTAAAAAATACATGGAGTACCTCAAACATCTCTGTATTATAAGTAAAAGTTATTTCATTTCACCCTTATTTTTCAAGGTCAGTGATTTTCTACCCTTACTGTGTATCAGAATTACTAGGCTTCAGGCCTCATCCCTAAAGATCTGGCAATTACTCAGATGTGTTTATTTTTAAAGCTTTCTGGATGATTCTAACATGCAGCCAGCACTGAAAACCACTGTTGGAGGTGGAGAGGGAAGGGAAAGTGAGCCAAGGAAAAAATATCTGTAGTTCAGAAAAACCGGTGGTACCACAGAAGTACTTTGTTATAAAAGTTCATTATTATACAGTTTTGGATATATTTAGATCAGATAACAGTCTATAGAACTAACTACATTTAGCAATTGCAATTTAACATGATTGAATTCTAAGAAGGTCTTATCAAATCTAACATATACAGGTCTCCAAATTATATGTGTTAGAGCTCCATGGATGAACAGATCTTAACTTGAATTTGGCTTACCTAATTTACTGATTTATGCTACACATCTAGTGAAGATATAGTATTCCTTATTTCAGAAATGGAAAATAGGCCCTGGCTGGTGTAGCTCAGTGGGCTGAGCGCGGGCCTGCAAACCAGAGCATCGTTCTGGTTCGATTCCCAGTAAGGGCACATGCCTGGGTTGCAGGCCCAGCAGGGGATACACAAAAGGCAAGCATACATTGATATTTCTCTCCCTTTCTCTTTCCCTTCCCCTTTAAAGATAAATAAATAAAATCTTTTTTTTTAATATAAATTTTATTTAGTTACTTTTCAAGTACATTTTTTTAATCTATTTCTCCCATTCCCCCCCCCCCCCCCCCAGTCCTCATCTCTGTGTCTTTAAATAAATAAAATCTTTAAAAAAAAAGAAGAAATGGAAAATAATCTATTGTAGGCTTTTTGGACCACATATACAAAATTTGGTTTATCTCCTTTTCCATAAGGTGAGAACACCAACCTCTTCATAAGTGCTTCAGTGGCTAAAAATTAAAATACACACATCCTTGCACTTACTCTTCAAAACCTGCCAAAATGCGCTTTAAATGGCACGAAGTTTCTATCCCAGCACTGACCTATTGCATCCCCAGCCCCAGGCTCCACCTTGCCAGGAGCAGGCGGAGGTGGTGCTGGGCTGCTGTTCTTCACAGGCTCAGCACTTGTTCCTGAGGTAGTTTCTTTTCGAGAGGTTTTGGACGGAGGTGGCTCTTCTACCACAACACCACTTTGACGCTGCCGTCGCCGTTTCTTACTCCATAATTCATGGCAATCCTGCCAGTGGGGGAGGCTGAAAAAAGACAAAACAAAGGGGAAATATGTGTGGGAATGTGGTAGTGAGTGAACAGAAGAACGAGATATCAACATGGGAAGGCAAAGAGCAGTGGGAAATGGAAAGAGTAAAGAAAACAAAAAAATAAATAAACAGAGAAGTTAGTAAATAAATAGTAGCAGTATAAAAAGAATCATACTATACAATAGTCTGAGGAAATAAAAGTCAAAAAGCCCACAGGATTTCTACAGTGAGAAATAAGGCTCTTCCTCATAACCAGAGACACACCTCCTATACAAATGCCCACATCTAGCCAAACGGTTAAGTCTTATAACTGTTTTTGGTTGGTATAACAAGAAGAATGTTACTGATCAAGTTTCAGTTGAGAGTAAGTAGCACAGAGATGACTGGCTTGTTAATGGATACAAAAAGTCCAGGCAAAGTGGTGATTTAAATCTTGGAACAACATAAGCATATCAGGATTAAACACCCTCTGTGTAAAATCCATTTATGTGTCATTTGACCAAAAACTGGTTCGTTCTTCTTTCTGCCCACTGAATTTCCATGAGTAGATATTTTCATTTGTAGGGTTTATGAGAATATTTTAATATATGTATTTCCAGGTTTTCCCATAATAATTCAAACAGTCCCAAATAGGTCAAATCTTCCTTCAACAAAGATTATTACTATAGCCAAAAATCTATTATAAGAGCTCCCAAATTTCAGTGAAAAGCTTTATGTATTTCAAGCCACATTCAATGTATCAAAATCCTAGTGTAATAAATTTCTTTGGAATAATCAGATTTGTAGTTACTACCTATTCCTGTACTAACATCCTATTAATTTCTTTAAGACACAGTCTTTCTGTAAGAAAAAAATGCCCCAAAAGTCTAACATGAAAACTATAATGCTCTCAGTAATAAATTCAAATATAAAAGCTTTTTTATTTGCCAGAATGTGAGCTGTGAGTGTTTAACTCTAAGGATCTTAGAGAATACTGAAAATTCATAAAATTCTGATGAAAGAGATACACATTCAAAGACCACATTTTCTACTCAAAATTCAGGACATGGGATCTAACAATGATACAAACTATTTAAAATTAGGACTGTCCTTGTAAGTGTGGAATATACACAGTCATCACAGACATAAGAGATTCAAGTCGATGGAATAATTAAGAGTAAAAACTAGCTAGCCCTGGCTGATGTGGCTCAGTGGATTGAGTGCCGGCCTGCGAACCAAAAGGATGCTGGTTGGATTCTCAGTCAGGGCACATGCTTGGGTTGCGGGGCCCAGCTGCAGATGTGCAAGAGGCAACTAATCAGTGTTATCTCGCTGCATGGATGTTTCTCTCCTCTTTTTCCCTCCCTCTCTAAAAAATAAATAAATTCTAAAAAAAAAAAAAAAAAAAAAAGTAAAAACTCAAAGGAATACCTTCAAAGAGGTTCTTATACAGGAACAAAAGAAGATAGTTTGAGTCAAATTAGAAGAAATATTATATCTAAATCTATTCCTCATTTTAAAAAAATCAAGGAATAAAATATCATATCAATCATAATATTATTTGTGGATACCTCTCCATCTGCAGTTCCTCTTAAAGATCAATTATTTCAGTTTAACATCTCCTAGGCCTAGGGGAGGAGGAGAGGTTTAGGGTCACTATATGAACACCAGCACTTACTCTGGAGGATCCATTTTGCTGAGGTCAACATCTTTAAGGAAGTCACTCTGCAGGGTTTGTTCAGCTGTGCAACGTTTGCTAGGATCTAGTGTCAGCATGTGGTCCAGTAAATCCAGTGCTGCTGAAGGAATGCTGTGGAAAAAACAGAGAGAGAAAACAAGTTCACAATGACCCCACAGTTCTTAAACCTGTAACCTTGCATCAAAGGTCTCCGAATTTCCAGTTCCACAAAAAACTATAGAAAGGGGTTGGAAGCTGGCTAAATAAGCAAGCAGGATTTTTCTTCCACAGAGGATTTAAGAAGTGCTGTAACACAGGTAGAAAATATGAAGCCAACAATTATATTCTCTTTTTGTCTTGGAAAGATAAAAAAGACTGTGAAAAAATACATATATTGTTTAAAATAAATTGGTTTTCTATCATTTAAAGCCTTCAAAAAAGAAAACTACAAAAAGGCTGTGACAGAACTTCATTTAAAAATAAAATGTTTTCCTATGGTGTGTTGCCATAATAAATTGGGACAACACTAACTCCCTAGGCCAGGAAAAGGCCAAGTGCAAACCAAAGACCAGCCAAACACAGAAATTAGGTGTGTATTTTTGCCAAACTCACAAAGAGAATTCTTCTCGTAAACGCCTTCTATATTGCTTCTTCGGTTTCATGGTATTGAAGTAGGGCAGCTTGATAACATCAGGCCACACAGCTGGACAAGGGCTACCACAGAGTCGACTGAAAACAAAGCAGAAAGCAGAAATACAAAAGTGAGTATGTCAGCATCATGAATTCTGAAGATTCTAGAAGCAGAAATGATTACATCCTGAGAGCTTATTAAATTAGACGGCATGCAGAAAGAAAAACCTGACCTCACTGCTTTAAGGACAGAGGATTAGGACAAAAAGAACTGGTTACAAGATAATGAACAGAAAATAGGGGCACAATAGTTTAAAATGATCTAAGTATTTGGTTTTGTAAAACATGTTTTTAATTCTTCTCAGGGGTTTTCATTACCAATTTTGTTCAGTTCAGTTAGTGTTAATTACCAACGGCTGAGCTGGCCCTGTAATACCCCTACAAAAAAACTTGCAAAAGATAGCCTAAGGCTAAAAATTTTGATGGAAAATTGAGTTTACTGCGTAACAAATAATGAGTTATATACTAGCTTTTAAAAAGTCTACATTAGCTGGCTGTACTCTTTCCCCTAATCTTATTGAATAAAACAACCCAAATTCCACTTTGACCCCAAGCCTTTCTGAAACTCTCCATTACAGGTTCTATTTTATAATTATCTGCATACATGTTGTATCACTTACTAAACTCTGAGCCCTTTGAAGGTAGGGACCTACTTTATTTATCTCTGAATCCTAAAGTTTAACAGAGAAAAAAATTTGTTACAAAACAAGCTCAATAAATGTGTGCTGAATAAATATGATCTTACCCTAAGAATGAAATAACTAAAAAGACACGCTTATATATGAAGAATAAAAAACATGCAAAGTAAGACTTAAAAGTAGGTGGAATACAACTTCTTTATATAGAGCACAATGCAAAATACATGGTAAACTTGACTGAGTAAAGAGAAACTTACTTGGACACAAGGAGCACAAAATTATTTAGTAGAATGGCTGAAAAGTGTTAGAAATCAGAGGTTATGACTAACTATCACACCTAGGTACACAACACATGCACAGTTGTACCTGATCAGTTCCAGCTGAGCCAGTTCCAGATTGGCTTGAAATATAGGTTTCTTTGTAAACAGTTCCCCAAGGATGCATCTAGAAAGAGTAAAATTGAGAGGTCAGAAGAGAAATCCCTGAAGCCTAATTAAAGTGTGTTTCAATAAACTTTTATGGTATGTATATAAACTTTTATAGTATATATACCATGTTGCAAATCAGCAACACTGTAGTGTCTGAGTTTTGTAACAGAAAATATATTTCTTGCAGCGAAAATAGACACTATAAAGGATTTAAATTTGCCAGCAGATCAAATCCTTGCCAACTATAAAGGACAGTCTATATATAAGCATAGAAAAGAAGTCAGGAATACTTTTCTGTATATTCCATTGTAAATTAAGAAGATAACTAAAGACTAAAAAACCCATGCTTCATTTAACAAGGATGCTCAGCAGTTCCTATAGTATAACCATACTATAGCCCTCTTGGCACTATTTGTAAAAAAAGTTTACTGTCATCAGCCAAGATCAGTTTCAACAGGACTTTCACAAATACATTATGCTTTAACACTTTTATCATTTTGAAAAGACCTGTCAAAAACTATATTGACATATTTAGTCTCCAAATTTTTCTCCACAAATTACTTATTACAAACAGAAAACTAGTAACTATTCAGTAGGAGGAAAGACAACCGAGTGAGCAAAGTTAACAACATTGGTAAGAGGCAAACAGGGTCATGTTAATACAAATGTGACACTTGAACACTTATGGAGTGAATATTCCAGCCAAAAACTCGTAACCTGAATCTACTGAGTCTTCGAAAATGTAAGTTATAAAAGACAAAGAAAGATTAAGGAACTATTTCAGATTAAAGATGGCAACTAAATGTAATAAATGATACTGGTAGGATCCTCTATCATGCGAGGTATTGTTTCCAGGACATTATTTAGGGTAGTGACAAAATGAGAATACAAAATATTAAGTACAGTGTATCAATGTTAAATTCCCTGAATTTAATAATTGTATTGTGATTATTTAAGATATTCTCTTTGTTCTTAGAAAATGTACATTAACTGTTAAGAGGGAAAGGAACATGATATATACAACTACTTTCAAACAGTTCTGGGAAAAAATACTTGGTATATTTATAAACATACATTTTATTCTATTTACATACTGTATGACATACATACATACATATATACATAAATGAATATAAAAGCAAATATGGCAAGATGTTAAAAATTAGTGAAGCCTTGGCTGGTGTGGCTCAGTTGGTTAGAGCATCATCCTGTAAACCTGAAGGTCATGGGTTCAATTCCAGGTTAGGGTACATACTTAGGTTGCAGATTTGGTCCTGGCTAGGGCGTGTACAAGAGGCAACCAATCCACGTTCCTCTCTCACATTCTCACCCTCCCTTCCCCTATTTCTAAAATAAGTGATTATGTCCTTGGGTGAGAATTTAAAAAATAATTAGTGAATCTACTATGAATGAATCTCAATTATGTTGAGTAAAAGATGCGAGAGGAGCCCTGGTCAGGGGGTTCAGTTGGCTGGAGGGTCATTCCATAAACCAAAAGGTTATGGGTTCAATTCCCAGTCAGGGCATACACCTAGATTACGTTTGATCTCCAGTCTTGGGAAGCGTACAGGAGGAAACTGATTGATGTTTTTCTCACACTGATGTTTCTGTTTTTCTCCCTCTCTCTCCTCTTCCCCCCTGTCTAAAATATATAAACATATCCTCAGGTGAGAATAAAAAATTTAAAAATCAGATAAAAAACAATGGAAGAGGAAAAAAGAGCATACGCTCACTGTATGATTCCATTTCTATAAAATTCTAGAAATGAAAATTAATCAACAATAGTAGAGAGCAAAACAATGATTGCCTGGGAATGGGATGGTGTAGACAGGAGAGAGATTACAGAGCAGCACATGGAAACTTTTGTAGGTGATGGTTTCACTGGTTTACACAATATGCATATGTTAAATATATACAGCTTATTATATACCTCAATCAAAAGGTTAAAAAATTTAGTAAATCCGAAAAAGGGTACACTTTATAAGTTTTCTGTACATTTAAAATTATTTCAAAATAAACTTAAAAACAAGTGAAAAATATGAATACTTTATACTTTTCTGTATGAAATATTTCACTTTTTTAAAGTGGGAAAAGATGTCCTGGCTGGTGCAACTCAGTGGACTGAACATGGGCTGTGAACCAAAGGGTCACCGGTTCGACTCTCAGTCAGGGCACATGCCTGGGTTGTGGGCCAGGTCCCCAATGGAGGCACATGAGAGGGAACCACACACTGATGTTTCTCTCCCTCCCTTCCTCTCACAGGAAAGAAAGAAAAGAAAGGAAAGAAAGGAAAGAAAAAAAGAAAGAAAAAGAGAAAGAAAGAAAGAAAAAGAGAAAGAAAGAAAACCTTAAAAAAAAAAGGAACCATTAAAAAATAAAGTGGGAAAAGAAAAAAAAAGACAAAGAATCTCTTCTCTGATCTGTGCTTTGATATGAGATTTATTTGAAAATACAAAACCAATGTTTATATATTTTTACTTAGACATTATTTAGCTTGATTAAATTTGAGAAAGCAAAACAAACCTAGTTCTTAAGTTATTCACACCTTATTAGGATTTTTTAATGTTAGTGACAAATTCTTACTTCTTATGTTCTCTCAAACCTTATTCAGAGATAAAAAAGTAAAATAAAATTTAACTGTTTCCAATATTAACTGCCAAACAAAATTCCAAATACAGTGGCTGAAAGAAAAATCAACCAACCAACCAACCAACCCAGCTGGGTTTTGAGACTCTAAGTACAATGTACTGTACTAGTCTTTTTAGTTTCTCCCCAAAATTTTAAGTTGAACTGCTCCAGCAATTCTCTGAAAAGAATATCGGACAAAAATATCTTCAGAGAGACTACCTTTCATCACCAAAGTAGTAAGCTCACATCAAATATCAATTCAACGAGTCACTGGGCTTTAAAGAAAGTCTAATTTTCTACAGTTTTGATTTCCAATTGTGTTTTTGTATTTTCTTTTTTTAAATTTTGGTTTCCATTCCTTTAATGGAGAAGACCATCATTATGCAATCAACACTTTGCTATTACACTAAGGTGGTGGGTTGCAGAGACTGAAATAATAGTACCAACAGAGCTAAGAACTTTCCCTGTGCATCTTAATGAAGCGTTACCTTTAGAGCCTAGTTGTGACAATTTAAATGCTAATACTATTAAAGCAAATAGTCCAGAACATAAACACACCCAGCTTGAGTCAGTAAAATTTAACTAAAGCTTCATCTGAGTAAGGTAGGCTACCATAGAAATTATGCTGTCTTTCTTCTTCACCCTTTTGAATTTTGAAATAAAACCTCTGTAGTGCCCCTTTTAAAGAATGTTACTAATAGAGGTAAAGAATGGGGAAGAGTGACATGCTCCACTGGCAAATATGTATGTCAGAAGCCTCAAACACTGTATTCATGCATAAGTCATACAGTGTAAGAAAAAATTAATAAACATTCCCCTTACAAACAAATGATAAATATTTTCAACAAAAAGGAACTAAGACCCCTTAGAGCAGGGATGTCAAACTCATTTTCACCGGGATCCACATCAGCTTCGTGGTTGTCTTCTAAGGGCCCAATGTAATTTTAGGACTGTATAAGAGTAACTACTCCTTAACTAGGGGCAAGGAGTTCGGAGCTGCTGGGTAGAAACAAGGTGTGGGGCCAGATAAAACAAGGTGGAGGGCCAGATTTGGCCCTGGAGCCTTGTTTGCTACTTGTGCCTTAGGGAAATGGCTGATGCCAGGTGTGGGGCAGGAAATAAAGATGATGAGCCTGGAACCAGAAAAAATAGAATGTAATAAAAGACTACTATGGATATATCAAAAGGATTCAAGAATTAACCTGAATAAACTCCCACCAGCCAAAGACTGGACAGGTTGCACAGGACTAAGGATGATAACCATAATGGAGTAAAACATATCATATATGTTTAGTTTCATGAGTTCATTATGAAACTAAAGAACAAGGCCGCAAAATCCTCTCTGGTCATCTTTAGAGAATGCTAGGAAACCACCTCTGTATCTTGAAACCTGGTAAATAAAAGAATTAAACCATTTTCCCTACCTTTTCCATATCACTTGTACGTAGGGTTACCCAAATAAATAAGTTATTTTTATTCCAGGAAGGAATGTTATAATTAGAATATCGCCATCACAAAACTGCCACAAACGAATTAATGGCTGTGGATCATTAATAGCTGATAACATTTCTTTCTTTTACAAAAATTTTTATTTACTGATTTTAGAGGGGGACATCAATTTGTTGTTCCACTTATTTATGTATTCATTGGTTGATTCTTATATGTGCCCTGATGAGGATATTGAACCCCACAACCTTTGGGTATTGGAATGATATTCTAACCAACTGAGCAAACCCAGCCAGGGTTCACTAATGCTCACTGGTCACGTTTCAAAAAGAGACAATTATATATTATGTAAAGTGGTGTGTGTGTGTGTGTGTGCGCGCGCGCATAAATCTGCCCTAGTAGGAACATTTTATCAGACATTGTTCAGAATTGTCTGTATAAGGTGGTAATAAAAAGCAGACTATTTTGGAGTGGATTGTTACTGTTTTTCAATTCTTCACAGATACTGTACCCAGTTACTGCCTGTACTCTGGGCAGAGGCTCCTCCCTGTGTTTCTCACACACAACTCTGATGTACCATTGACTATACGATCTGTCAGAAGTACTCAAAACCATCTGTACAGTAGATTCAGGGTCAGTGGATGACTGAAAATCAAACCTGAATTCACCCACAATTTACAGAAAATAAAAGGAACAGAGAGAGAACCATGATAAAAAATACTATCAGGAGGATGTAATCAGCAGAATCCAGATTGTGGGAGACTTTATAGAACAAATGACCCAGTTCCTTCCAAGGAAATTGTAATGGGGGTGAGGGGACCCAAGATAGATAGAGGGAGAATTTATAATTAAAAAGACTTCAGATAATCAATGGCAATCCATGGGTCTTATTTGAATGTATTTGGATCCCAATTCAAACTAAGTTAAAAAAAAAAATGACAATTGGTGAAATGTTAAAAAAGTATTTCTGCCTTGGCTGGTGTGGCTCAGTGGACTGAGTGCTGGCCTGTGAACCAAGGGGTTGCAGGTTCAATTTCCAGTCAGGGAGCATGCCTGGGCTGCAGGCCAGGTCCCCAGTAGGGGTGTACGCAACAGACAACCACGCCTTGATGTTTCTCTCCTTCTCTTTCTCCCTCCCATCCCCTCTCTCTAAAAAGAAATAAATAAAAACTTAAAAAAAAAAAAATATTCAACATACTTCTCTGAAATCTAAGAGTTTATCCCCGCCCTTTTGAACTTAAAGAAAAGCTGCAAAAAAAGTCAGTGTGGAGAGAGAACATGATACAAGTTCAACAGGCAAGTTACAAACAAAAGAAAAAGTGAAGGGAGCCTTACCCACAGCTCCAAACATCTATGGCTGGTGTATAACGCTCCTCTCCCAGCAGAAGTTCTGGAGGTCGGTACCACAGAGTAATGACTTTGTTTGTATAAGGGCGACTAAAATGAAAAAAAAAAAAAAAAAAAATCATGACATAAATTTACAATGACTTCTGATGTAATATATTTGTACAATTAAATGCAAATAGAAATAGCTGCCAATTGAAGACAGGATGTTCAAAACAGCTCCATAGCAACCTAATAGTTCAAAAGTAAATTGGACAAAAATAGGAAGGAAAGAAACAAAATAACTTCCATTCCAATTTGAGTTGATTCATTTTAAGTCTAAGGATGATCTAAGAATTTAGATAGACCCCTGGCTGGTGTGGCTCAGTGGATTGAGCGTGGGCTGCAAACTAAAGGGCCACCAGTTTGATTCCCAGTCAGGGCACAGGCCAGGTCCCCAGTAGGGGACACATGAGAGGCAACCACACATTGATGTTTCTCTCACTCTCTTTCTCCCTCCTTTCCCTTCTCTCTAAAATTAAATAAATAAAACTAAAAAAAAAAAAAAAAAAAAAAAAAAAAAAAAAAAAAAAGAATTTAGATAGAATTTACTGTCTATAATTTAGGTAGTAACACATTTAGACAATTAGGGAACTCAGACACTTATTACAACTTGCAGGATACTATGATACCCAAGAATAAAAAACATTCTTTCCTATTTCCTACATGTAATTTTGGTAAATGTCTCACCTTTCTTCAGAGTTATAGAGCCGAGCAAGTCCAAAATCTGCTAATTTGATCTGCCCACTGTAAAACAAAAACAATTATTTTCATAAGTAATAGCAACAACTTCCAAATCATACCTAAAAAAGGCAAACATTAATTTAGGAGTTAAAAAGATTACAAAAAATTTAATTTTAACCTCTGCTCTTTGTTCTACTTTTAATGGCTACTGTTCCAGGTTAAGTATCTTTTGACTACTCCAGTTTACAAAACCTTGGGGTTCACCAAGCCTTAGGGTTTTTTTTAAACTACTATATTTTTGGATTTGACCCAATTAAATGTATCATTTATTTCCTGGCAAGCAACACTGACTGGAACCTGCAATACTAAATACAAATTATTGAAGGGGAAAAGTGGACAGTTCTAGATTAAGAGAAATTTAAGACACCTAACAATCATATCCAATTCATAATCTTTGACTGATTCTGGTTTGAACTAGGTATACAAGACATTTTTCATGTAACTTAAAAAATTACAGGGTCCCACAAAAGTAACACCTGCTTAAGTGCAGTTGCTAGGGAACAGTATAGGTGCAATAATTTGTCATTTTAATTTGAACATTTCATCTAAAATGTCAAATAGTGTGCTTGAGTGTGATATTGTTATGTTACAGAGTTACATGCTCATGATTTTGTAATAAAAAAGAGGTGTTATTTGTGCCAGACACTGTATAATATATGGACTGAATGTTGGAAGTTAATAGGTAATAGTTAATTCTGTCAGAGTATTTAGAGTCAAATGTAATGATGTCTATAATTTACTTTAAAATAACTCAAGCAGAAAAATAAAAAGCAAATATAGTAAAATGTTCATTGTATATTGTTAATTGTATACAATGTTAATTGTATATTGTTAATTGTATGTTAATTGTTAATTGTTAAATGTTCATTGATTTTATATTAAGTAAATTAGTGCCTCAATTTTTTATTGTAATTTGACGTTTTTCATAATGAACAGTAAACAACACTGTGGATTTTTTCAAACAGGCAACAGAACTTTGATCAGAGCAAACAATTTTTATGATGAATGAGACCTTCTACCAAAATAATACCATCATTTCCTTTACCATAACAATATACAACTATGACCTTAGAGGGGCTCTCAGACTTTAGTATCCCTGGAAAGCTTGTTAAAAGTATCCTGGGCCCCATTCCCAGAGATGTTGATTCAATAGGTCATAGCCCCAAAACTTGAATTTCTAACAAGCCCAAGAGCGATGCCAGCACTGCTGTTCTGAACTATATATATACTTTGCCTTGAAGGAATCATACCTACATTTCACTCTACTAAGTATTCTGTCTTTGACAGTGATGTCAAGTAATATTTTAATAACTGCAAAATGTTGGGAAACTATTAAAAAATTTATTATTTCAGATTCATCATATGTGTCTAAATTATTTTGTAGACTATTTACACGTACAGCTTGTGTCACCTTTTGGGGAATGAAAAGCCAGCTCACTCTTTTTTTAGAGACTGGGGATATCTCAGGTGTGTGATAGACAGAAAGATGAGATAGAAATAAAAAAAGGCACTATGTTATGAGGTGCTCCTCAAAGTATCAGCAATAGGACAGAATAGTAAAACAAAGTACTACAGCGATACAGTATTTCATTGGTCTTTGATTTATTGTACTTCCATCAACACAAGGCAAGACCCTTCACCAGCAAAAAAAAAAAAAAGGAGTCACTGAAGGCTCAGAAAATGGTTAGCATGTTTTAGCAACAAAATATCTTTTTAAATGTTCATTGATTTTAGAGAGAAGGGGGAGACACAGAGAGAGAAACACTTATCAGTTACCTTCCATACAAACTTCCACCAGTAATCAAACCTGCAACCCAGGTATGTGCCCTGACCGGGAATCAAACCTGCATGCTTTGGTGTACAGGATAATGCTCCAACCAATTGAGCCACACTGGCCAGGGCCAAAGTATCTTTTAAATTAAGGTATAGCCCTGACCAGTGTGGCAGTCTATGAAACAAAGGGTTACAGGTTTGATTCCCAGTCAGGGCACATGCCTGGGTTGCTGGCCAGGCCCCCAGTTAGGGGCGTACTAGAAGCAACCACTTAATGTTTCTCTTTCTCTTTCCCTTCTCCTCTCTCTAAAAATAAATAAATTCTTTAAAAAATAAATGAAATTAAATTAAGGTATTTACATTTTCTTTAGACATAATGCTATTGTATTCTCAATAGGCTACAACATAGTGTAAAGGTAACTTTTATATGAACTGGGAAAACAAAAAATTCATATGACTCGCTTTACTGCAAATTTGCTTTATTGCGGTGGTCTGGTACCGACTCGCAATATCTCCAAGGTATGCCTGTAACAACAAAATTTTACATTAAATCAACTCTAATCATTTCTAGTTAAGATTAAGGACATCTTACCTACTCGCTCCAAACTTCATTGTATTATAAAGCTCAATTTATAAACAAATTCTGAGAAAAGCAAAAAAGAAAGAAAACGGCTGACTTGAATAAAAAAAGTGTTCCTCAAATTTCTTGGCATTCTTATTCTGAGAGCCTGAGATGATCCAAGACTCAAGGCATACAACTGACTGATTACAATGGCAATAGACATAGTTATAGGCAAATAGGCTATAAAACATTTCCTAATCTATCCCCTCTCCTTTCTCACCCTCAGTAATGACCTTCACTGAAAACAGAAGTTACCAGGTGAGAGCTACTTAACATCCCGTTACCTACAAACTTCTTGCACCTATAACCTTCTTTCTTTTCCTTCAATTACTGAACAAGTGTGCCAATCTCTTGTTCAAGGATAATTAATACCTATACTTGTGGCTACTACCACCTGTAACCTTGACCTCAACTCCTCTAGAAATTTGTTCCTTTAAATTATTTTGGATCTTTCCTGAATCTTCAACTTCTCCTGATTTTCTTTTCCATTAGCATTTAAATATGCTCAGACCTCTGCATCCTTAAATAAAAAATCAAAATTAAAAACTAAAGACACACTTGCCCACCACTTTCCTATTAATTGTATTACTCACCCACTTACCCCACACTGTCTCCACTGACCTTTTAAACTTGAGATTCTCTTAACTCACTTCTTAAACTTGCCTATTTTGCATTCATGAAATTTCTTTATTTTCTTCCTCTGTCTCTGACCATTCTCTTGGGTTCCATCTTCTTACATCTTTTCTATGCTTGATAACCCCTGAATCTGCATATACTGCTAGTCTGGAACGTCCATGGGACCTGTTAGTTCTGTTCTCCTACCCCCTCTTATCAACTGCTCTCTCTTTCTTGTCCAGCTGAAGACTCCTTACAATTCTCTCCAGGCCATCTCACCAAAAGTCTCTGTGTAGCCAGAATTGAATGGGCAAGAGCAGAAGCTGAATGTATCAGACTAGACCATGAGACTCCTATATCCCACTTAGTTTCCTGAATTTTCTGAACGTGGGAAGTTGAGAAAAAGGTAGGGCCTGACCCACCACCAACCAGAAAGGGCACCAAGCAGGACTTCAGTTATTCCCTGCCCTGACATAGCCCCCACTGAGGAGCAAAAGGAACAGAGGAAAGTATGGTAATACTATATAGTTTAGGAAAGCTGCAAGCTGACAGCCATCATCAAGTTCTTGAAGCCATACTACTACAGGTGTAGATTAACCAAACCCAGCTTTAATGAGAACTGTGGGTCATAGAGATAGCAACAGAAAGAAATAATCTCTTAATACCATGTTTTGTCTCATAAAGATATTTAAGTATATATTAAACAAGTATATACAGTTTATATATTTTTTAATTTAAATAATGCATTTAATTATATAATTTAAAAACAAAAAATTAGCCCTGGCTGGTGTAGCTCAGTGGACTGAGCACTGGCCTGTGAAGCAAAGGGTCGCTGGTTTGGTTCCCAGTCAGGGCATATGCCTGGATTGCAGGCCGGGTCCCCAGTGGAGGACACATGGGAGGCAACCACACATTGATGTTTCTCTCCCACTCTTTCTCCTTCCCTTCCCCTCTCTCTAAAGATAAATATATAAAATATTTTTTAAAATTTAAATTAACCAACATCCTTCAGTGTCTGTCACCTACAAAGTATAAGCTCCTTAGTGACACATACAAAATCTTTAAATTGCTTCCTTGCAACTGTCCAACTTTACCCTTCCTGCCCTAGCAATTTTAGTTTTCTGGATTATGTTGTGTTATTTTCACATTTATGTGCTTTTGTCTGTGCAATTTCTTTTGCCTAGAAACTTAGCCCTCTGTTGTCAGTCTTTCTGATAAATCCCTCTATTCATTCCTCTAGATGGCATCTTCCTGGGTGCTCCCAAATTTTTAAAAAAGGAGGGGGCATTAATAAATGTGTATTGAATTGAGTCATTTACTTGTTTAGCTCCCTACTAAACTCAGAGCTCTCCAGTGACCAACCATCCCACTTGGGACTTTGAGTGTTAAAACCAGGAGAGTCCTGGGCAGCTCTGGATGACTGGTTACCTCACAATACAAAGACAGAAAATACAGAATAATTTCATATTCCTACATAGATAATGTTTGTCAAATATAATTGAACAATGGGTGAATCAGACAAAGATGACTGTAAACAGCCCCATTTCCTAAAGAACCAAACACTGGACTGATATCAATAATACCAAACTTGCTTTTTACTCCCCAATGGATAGGGCTATCTATCACCAAAGATTACTGTGCATAAAACTTCTGATATTACCAATGTAGTTTAGGTAAACAGCCAGAAAGGAAGAAAGCAGATGATAAAAAACTTCTGAAGAACTAGCACTGTTCCTCACCAAATCCATGTCTGTCTACAATGCTAAAACATGGAAGTTTTAAGTACTGGTCAGAAAGGTCAATCACCAAGTATACACCTATGTTAACTCTGAAATTTGATAGAGAAAGTCTCAAGAACAGCTAGAACAGCAGGCATATGTTTCTCCCCACTAAACAAGGGAGAGTTTCATTAAGAACTGAATCTATGTTTCAATTTGTCTATATTATTATTAGACAACAATATTATTCACTATCTATGGCAAGAAAACCTCTGAATATTTCATAGGATATGAGTGACTCCTTAAAATGTTTGCAATTTACAGTTCTACCTCTGTTAATTCCTTATCAACACTGAAGTCCAGAAACTGCTGATCAGGATAACCCTATTATAAGTTGTTCCTAATGTTCAGATGTATGTAAATGAAAAAAAACTGTATTACTGGGTCTACCTATCACCCCAATTAACTAACTTAAACTAAGAGGTTCAGAAGAGAGAAAAAATGCTTAACCTCATTTGGTTTTATTGTGTTACCTGTTGTTCAGCAAAATGTTAGAACACTTAATATCCCGATGCAAGAAATTCTTTTTGTGACAGTAATCCAATCCTTCCATTAGCTGTTTCATGAATGACTTGATATGATCCTCAGAAAAGTGCACCAAACCAGATTCTAGCAGTCCCATTAAGTCATGGTCCATATACTCAAATACAAGGTAAAAGGCACCTACACAAAAGAAAAAATTAAAAACAATAGTAAAAACATGAAATGACAATGCCTTAAATTTTAATATAATTTGGGAGTTGACCATAAGGCTCTCTGGAACAACTGTGTAATTTTATAAATGAAGAAACTGAAACTCAGAGTAGTTGAATAACTTGCCATTTCTAATAATAACTAATAGAACTAATAACTGAATTCATCTTCTGACTCCTTATCCAAGGCTCTCTAGATTACTATGTCTTGAGGGGGACAAGTGCTTCAGTCATATTGTGTAACTATTTTTTATGATTTAAGTCCACTGGCTAATTATGTACCTTCGGCCAAATCCACTCTATTTGTCGATTGTAAATAAAGTTTTCTTTGTAACACACAACCATGCCTGTTTGTCATACTGTCTATGAACTACTTTTGTAGAAGTCTGTACACCTTAGTTAATAGGACTCACACAATATGCCAGGGCAGAATATTTATAATATTTGTTATAAATTATTACTAAAATTCATAATATTTAAGAATTGAAAGAAAAATGAATCATCTAATTAAATAACCTAAATTTAGAAGTAGATAAAAAAAGTACACTAACAGAACTTTAAAACATGTGAAAGCCACACTATCATGCCACTTTCAACAGTGTGCCTGATAGAGAAAAATATCACATAAATTCCAGACCTAGTTAAAAAATGATATATCCAGTCTAAAAGTCTATCTCCTAGTAACATAAAGGCAAGTATTCTCAATCTAGGGAGCAGGCTTCAAGGACTCTTTGAACGCTCTAAAATGTGCAACATTTTTAAAAAAATATGCAGTATTAAAAAAAAAAACTGGTCCATCTTTGATGAGGTACATGACCCCCCCCCCCAAAAGTTAAGAACCACTGTAATGAGTATCTTAAAGAGATTTGGCTACAACCTTATACAAGTGAATACGAAAAAGACAAAAACTGCAAAATATAAGTAGACAAAGGACATAAAAGTGACAACCCGAAAAAGAGAAAATAAGTAAAACTGAGAAACACAGATCAAACTCAGAAGTAATACAAGAGCCCTGGCTGGTGTAGCTCAGTGGATTGAGCGTGGGCCTGTGAACTAAGGGAACGCGGTTTGATTCCCAGTCAGGACACATGCCTGGGTTGCAGGCCAGTTCCCAATAGGGGACGCACAAGAGGCAACCATACATTGGTATTTCTCTCCCTCTCTTTCCCTTCCCCTCTAAAGATAAATAAATTTTTTTTTAATCTTTAAAAAAAAAAGTAATACAAGAAATGCAATCCAAGCCCTGGCCAGGTAGCTCAGTTGGTTAGAGCATTGTCTCGATATGCCAAAGTTGCAGGTTTCATCCCTGGTCAGGGCACATACAAGAATGAACCAATAAATGCATCAAAGTTTCTCTCTCTCCCCCTCTAAAATCAGTAAAAAGAAAAAAAAAAAAAAAAAAGAAATCCAGCCCTAGCTGGTATGGCTCAGTGGATTGAGTGCTGACCTGGGAACCAAAGGGTCTCTGGTTCGATTCCCAGTCAAGGCACATGCCTGGGTTGCCCACCACGTCCCCAGTAGGGGACACATGAGAGGCAATCACACATAGATGTTTCTCTCCCTCTTTGTCCCTCTAAAAAAAATAAATAAAATCTTAAAAAAAAACCAAAACAATCCAAAATATCATACTTCAACTATCAAGATGACCAAAAACAAAATGTGCTCCATTAAAAAAGTCAATACATAAAAAATATGAACTCAGTATTAGGGAGAATAACGTGGGATGCACACTCATTGGTGGGACATAAATTATTACTCTCTTCCTAAAAAGCAATCCAACATTAAATATAAAAACCCCTTTGACCAAATAATTATATTCTCAGAAACTATTAAGAAATAAATCTAGACCCTGGCTGGGGAGCTCACTTGATTAGAGCGTCATCTCATTAGCAAAGATTTTGGGTTTGATCCCTGGCCAGGGAACATATATCAATCAACCAATGAATTATAATAAATAAGTGGAACAATAAAACTGATGCTTCTCTCTCCCTCCCCCGACTTCCTCTCGCTCTCTAAAATCAATCAATAAATTTTTAAAAAATTTTATTTATTCATCTTCAGAAAGGAAGGGAAGGAGAGAAGGAAAGAAATATCAATGTATAATTGCTTCTGGTGCATCCCCTGCTGGGAACTGGCCCCTGCTGGGAACTGGCCTGCAACCCAGGCATGTGCCCTGATGGGGAATTGAATCTCAATCTTTTGGTTTGCAGGCCCATGCTCAATCCACTGAGCTACACCAGCCAGGGCTAAAAATTTTTAAAAGAGAAAGAAATCTAAATGTAAAGATTAATGCACAGAGATGCTCAATGCAGTTCTCTTACATATTTTTTCAAACTGGCAATTGCTCAACAAGGACTGGTAAAGAAAATTTGGATTCATATATCTTTATGCACAGTCATGAAAACATGTTGATAATATGATAAATTGCTCATGACAAGTTATACAACACTAAATATACTGTGACCTCAGTAATGTTTAAGTACACATAATATAAAGTACTAGAAAAAAATAAGTGCCCTGGTTGGATAGCTTAGTTGGTTAGAGCGTGGTCCCAAAATGCCAAAGTTGCGGGTTAGATCCCCAGCCAGAGCATTTATTTTCTTTTTTTGATGTTACTTATTTTTAAGGAGTGTGGAAGGGAGAGAAAGAGGGAGAGAAACATCAATATGTGGCTGCCTCTCACATAGCCCCAACTGGGGACCAGGACCACAACACAGGCATGTGCCCTGACTGGGAATTGAACCAACAACCCTATGGTTCTCAGGCCAGCACTCAATCCACTGAGCCATACCAGCCAGGGGGATTGACATTTTCTTTTTTAAAGATTTTATTTATTTATTATTAGAGAGAAGGGAAGGGAGGGAGAAAGAGAGGGAGAGAAACATCAATGTGTACTACCAGCCAGGGCAACATTTTCTTATTCTTTTATATTTTCAATTTTTCCACAGTGGATATCCACTGCATCTATCCATTCATTATCTTATTATTTAAGAGGAAAAAAAAAAAAAAAGAACTGAAGGGGCTTGGCTGATGTAGCTCAGTGGATTGAGCATGGGCCTGTGAAGCAAAGGGTCACTGGTTCAATTCCCAGTCAGGGCACATGCCTGGGTTGCAGGCAAGGTCCCCAGTAGGGGACACATGAGAGGTAACCACACACTGATATTTCTCTCCCAACTCTTTCTCCTTCCTTTCCTCTCTCTCTCTAAAAATAAATAACTAAAAAAAAAAAAAAAAAAAAAAAGAACTTAAGGAATTACTGTAAAGGACACATGGACAAAACGAAGGGGGAGGGTGGAAACAAGGGAGGGAGGAGGGTTTGGCTGGGGTGGGGAGGAATGATGGGGAGAAAATGCAGACAACTGTAATTGAACAACAATAAAATAATTTTTAAAAATAAAAAATAAAAAGCCATAGCCAATAAAAAAAGAACTTAAACAGACACAGCAAATTATTTAAACAGTACATAATGGCATGGTCAAGTCTCTCTCCAGAAGCAATTAATTAACATTTTCTTGTGCATCCTTACAGAAACTATACAATCATTTTTATAATCAGAAAAAGTTAAGATATGCCAGGACATAAACCTAATATCATATCTAACTTACATAAATACTGTTGCATAAACAGAATTTCCTTTTATTTGCTTTAAAACTACTTCTACCAATGCAAGAGGTGCTATTACTTCCCAGGGTTATTTAGTATATTTTTTTGAAAAAGATTTTATTTATTTTTAGAGTGGAAGGGAGGGAAAAAGGGAGAGAAACATCAATGTGTGGTTGCCTCTGATGCACCCACTACTGGGAATCTGGTCTGCAAGCCAGGCATGTGCCCTAGACTGGGAATTGAATCAGTGACCCTTTGATTCACAGGCCAGCATTCAATCCACTGAGCCACACCAGACAGGGCTAATTAATATCTTTGAGGCTCTATAAAAAGGTCCAGCTTAATTTATCCACTACATTCTAAATTCGTGTACTTTATATTCTTTTTCTAAAATTTATTTTTAATTATAGTTGACATACAATATGTTAATTTTAGGTATATAACACAATGAAATTTAACTTTGCTTCACAGGCCTGTGCTCAATCCACTGAGCTACACCAGCCAGGGCTTGAAATTTAACCTTCATATACTTTATGGAGTACCACAGTATGTCTAGTAATCACTGGTCACTACACAGAGATAATACAATACTAGTAACTATAGTATTTCCTTTGCTATATATTACATCCCCTTGACTTATTTTATAATTGGAAGTTTGTGTATTCTTAATCCTGTTCCCTTTTTCTATGAATCATACTCTCTCTTAAATATTCCAGATTACATTCACAAATGCCATCTCTTCATTTCTAAATGAAGAGATGCCCATCTCTAAATCTTTAGATTTCAATAAAAGTTGATGAGATGTCATATACAGGCTACTTCAAACATAAGTACAGAAACGATAAACAATTTTATCCCCCAAAAGAGATAAAAGTTACAAATCTGGGAAAAGAAACCCAAAAATTGTTTGGTGTTTTTTTTTTATGATCTACTAAATCTTTTCATTAGGTTTTTAAAAATTATTTATTTATTTAACTTTTGAGGGGAAGGGAAGGAGAGAGGAAGAGAATATCAATGTATGGTTGCCTCTTGTGCGTCCCCTACTGGGAACTGGCCTGCAACCCAGGCATGTGCCCTGACTGGGAATCGAACTGGCAACCCTTTGGTTCGCAGGCCAGTGCTCAATTCACTGAGCCATACCAGCCAGGGCTGAAGATTGTTTTTAGAAATATCTGCTTTGAATTCTAAACTGTATTAGTTAAAAATTATGTAAAAATATGGATGCACATAAACAATAACCAGTGAGGATGATGTAAAAATGAATAAGAAGCAAATTCATATAAAGAAAAAACTGATGGTTGCCAAATAGGTGAGTGGTGAGAGGGTGGGCAAAAAAGGTGAGGAGGATTAAGAATTACAAATTGCCAATGATAAAATTAGTCATGGTGAATATAGCATAGGGAATAATGTATAGCACAGGGAATATAGCCAGTAGTATTACAATAACTACATATGGTGACAGTTACTAAACGTATGGTGATCACACTGTAACGGGCATGAATGTCTCTAATCATTATGTCATACAGCTGAAAGTAATATAATATGTAAGCTATAATTAAAAACAAATTTTAAAAATGAGAGTAAATAATAAATATGGATTTTAATTTTCATTATTATAATTTGTAAAAAAGAGATTTTAAAACATTTAGAAGAGAATCTTATAACTGTTTATAATCTGGCCATATTAGGTGGCACAGCAGACTCTAATGAATAATGGGAATTTTATAAAATAAGCACTTTTCAGAACAAATGCAATCTGGTAACACCTCAATTCTGGTACAGGTTCAAGAAGGAAGCTTGAGTCTAGTACAATCTGTTAAACAATTCAAACAGGTAAACAAACTTAGAAAGGAAAGTAAGATGTAGCAATCTATCCTATACACAGTTCTTTGCACGTACCTTTGTCCTTCTTGAAATCCAGTGCATCTTGTTTATCTGTGACAATTTCCTTCATGTTAACAACACTTCGGTGGATTAGCTGACGAAGAATTTTGATTTCACGAATGGCTGTGATTGGGAAACCTTCTTTCTCATTGTCTAGTCTCACCTTCTTCAGGGCCACTAGCTCTCCTATCACAGTAAATTAAAACTGTTACATTATCAATTAGCATTTGTTGACCACCATCACCAACAAGCCAATACATGCTCTTACTTTGAAAAAAAGACTTAATGCCTATTTTAATGCTTTATACAGATACTTTTGTATCTTAAAAAATAAATCCCTAAGTTTTCTTTCTTTAATATCCTTAAAACTGGAATTTTTAATTCCATATTCAGTTAGGCCTAAAAATTTTGGTTATTAAAATATACACCAGCTCTTTCTAGTGTGGATCAGTGGATTGAGTGCTGGCCTGTGAACCAAAGGGTTGCCCGTTCAATTCCCAGTCAGGGCACATGCCTGGGTTGTGGGCCAAATCCCCAGTAGGACTACAAGCAATCGCACACTGATGTTTCTCTCCCTCTCTTCCTCCCTTTCCCTCTAAAACTAAAATAAATTTTAAAAATCTTAAAAAAAAATAATAAGCCAATAATTCAACTACATCATTTTATCTTCAACGACTAATCCCTTACCAAAAAGAGAGCTACTTATTTGTGGGGAGAATCAGAGTATAAGGGGACTAAATGGTAATTTAAAAATACATAAAAACAATTAAAAATAAATATATCAAAAAAAGAGCAACTTTTACATTTTATTTTTACCTTCTCTTAAATTCCAAGCAAACTTTTAATAAACATTCCCAATAAACAACAAAAGAGAGGTTTTAAACTGTAGTAACTATACTATTCTTCTGGAAAATTTCAGTATATTTAGTAACTTTGAGACCAAGTTAGAACTCAAAATGTGCTTTTTCTAAATCTTCATAAGACATTATTTAGTATTGTTAACTTTTTAAGCTGATACCTAGAATTTTTAGGCAGTATTTTTACCTGTGTCTTTGTCCTTGGCTTTATATACTTGGCCATAGGTTCCCTCTCCAATAATCCCAATAATGTCAAATTTGTCCACACAGCGTTTTCCCCAATCACTTTCTGTTTGTCTTCTTTCTCCGTAACGAGGACAACAAATTCTAAGAATGGCAAAACAAAAATAAAAACAAGTTATTTAAAAAAATTAAGTCTATTCAAAGAAAATAATTCTTTTATAACTTCTGACTCCTAAATCTTTTATGAATTTATTTAAAAGGCAGGAATTAAACAATATGAAATAAATAGTTTAAATGGTCTCTCCTAATGGCTAAAACACAGATTTCTTTTTTTTTTTACTCCAGTAAGACATAAGATAAAATAAAATGATTTGTTGCTTACTTTCTTACCTCTTGATTATTCACTTCCTCAACTACAGAATGGGAAAATAATCCCTACAACATAGGATTGCAATAAAAATGAAATGTAAAATTTTGGCAATAAAACATGCTCAGTAAAGGTAACTTTTTATTAAGAGAGGAATGCTAACAACCAGAAAACCAAACCCAGATTCTACATGTTTATGGCAATGCCAATTTATGTGATTTAAGTAACGGATACATGGTTGACAAACCCTGAATAAAAGAGCTTTTTTGTCTTCAATGTTCTAAATATTATGAACTCAAAAGATACAATGGGATCAATGTTCAAGGTTTATTTAGATTGGGGAAATTATTCTGAAAACCAAACAAAACAAAATAAAACACCCAGCTAGGTTATCTGTGGATGCAGATGAATGGGTCTCTTAGGTAGGCTTTTATCCATTAAATAAAAGATAAACATTAGGCCTGATCTTCTATCATTCTACTGGTGTGGGTTGTATAAGAAAGTATGAGATTTAGGTCCCAAAGTTTCTCACTGTAATAAAAGCTATAATTAAGGATAGGTCCCTCCAAAAACTCACTTTGGTCTTTTTTTATATGGTTGTTGAGGTGGTGTGACTGCCTTTGGTTCTGGAGAGTCTGGAGGAGATGGATCCCCACCAGGAAGCTCTGGAGGGAGAGGGAGGTCCGTGAGTAAGTGACGTGGCCTTTGTTCCTTCTCCTTCTTTACTGGTTTTGAAGGCAGAGTTTCTTTTGGACTAAGAAATAGTGATGAAGAAAAGAAAAAGATCACAGTTACTTAAAGGATATGCAAATAAAACTTTTAAATATTAGAATGTCTGGCTATTTAAAGATAACAACAATTTTACTTTTAAAGGGAAAACCCCCTGTATTATAAGGTAAGAAAATATAGTTTATCAAAGTTTTAATATACCAATCTATGGTATATTAAAGAAACAATAAAATTTTTACAATATACTTATCAGGTCCTTTAACAAACTATCCTTTAATGCCCTTCCCAAGATTCTATTTGGATTTTTACTGAGATGAAATGAAACGCAAGAAGTTATCATCTTAAATTTGCAAAGTATCACTACAACTCAAAAAGTCAGCAAACCTACTCCATATTTTAGCCAGCAAAGATTTAAATAACAAATGAAAGCTCAACAATGTAAAAAACACTATATTGCTGAAGATGTGGAGAGAACCTGGAAAAAGAAATAAAATTAAAGTGGAAATCAAAATCAGTGAAAAATACACTCACTTATTATTCCATTGGTTTGGATGCAAAAGACAACCATATCTGACCAGCCAAAATGAATAAATAACTCTCAAACTAAAATATAAGGAGAAAGAGTCCAAGCAACTATTTTGGTATTATTAAAGCAGGTAAAGCAGAAGGTCTCTCATGATAATAAGTTACAGCAGTCAGGATGAATGGCTTTTCTGGAATAGATTAGAAACCTCAGTTTTGAGATTCAATCTTTCAACTATCTCAATGTATTTATGAGTGAAGGAAGGATTTTGTATAATGTATGTCCTCAGAAAAGATAGTGCAACATACAATTCAAGCCTACAAATAAAACCATCGTAGACAGTAAGCCTTTTCTGTTCCATCAATAGTCTCAGAAGGCTGAAACAGATGTGAGAATCCTCCACTTTTTGACAAGTGGTCATAAAAAAACATATTCATTTTCTTTTTAAAGCACATTGTGACTTAAGCACCACTTTTCCATTCATAAAAGTTGCTGAGTTACCTTTTTTTTTTTTTTTTTTTTTTTTACTGAGTCACCTTTGAAGAGCTTTACAAGATGCCTAGTCAGGCTTGCAATTTTGCTAAACAATACTTTTCTTTGGAAAACAAGCTCTCTGGATAGTTACTCCCATCAAGTTGGTTCAGTTTAACATACTAATTTCCAGAGGCCAGGTATATGCAGTTGATAACTACAGGGGATGGAGGCTTAAAAGTAGAATTTAGAAGATTAAACATACTCTTTCATGAATACTTCCACAGAACCATAAAGAACAGTTCTATCCCTTGCAATGTATCCTTTAAAATTTTTTTATTGATTTTAGAGAGAGAGGAAGAGGGAACAAGAGAGAGAGAGACAGAGAAGCATAGATTTGTTGTCCCACCCGCTTATGCACTCATTGATTGATTCTTGTATATACCCTGACTGGGAATCAAACCTACAACCTTGGCATATCGAGACAATACTCCAACCAACTCACCCAGCCAGGGCTGCAATGTACCTTTTTGAAGCATACTGCTGCCCTTTGTGTGTGAAACAATCTCTAAAGCTAAAACTTCCGACCAATTTTCATCACTTTTTTAAATCCTCACTCAAGTAGAGAAAGGGGCAGGGGACGGGAGGAAAGAGATGGAGAGAGAAATACCTATATGAAAGAGAAACATTGATTGGCTGGGTTCCATACATGCCCCGACCAGGCATTGATCCTGCAGCCCTCTAGTGTACTGAATGATGCTCCAGCCAATGAGCCACCTGGTCAGTGCCCAATTTTCATCTTTTTAATCTCTTGTAAATCAGAATAGAATCTAGATTAGTTTGTATCCTATCAACCAGATGGAGTGCAAAGAATGATCTGAAACTCTGTTAAATCACTGGTAAGAGATAAACTTACAACATTACAATTTGCACATTTTTTTCTACCCTGGGGACTAGCCTATTACCAGGAAACTCTTGAGTCAGGATACAATACTGATTTTAAATTTCCCCAACTTTTCAGACATTCAGGGAAAGAAAATTTCTCACTTACCAACTAATGTCAGATAGTCTTTTGTATTCCTCAAAAGCTATTTTTTAAATTTTATTTTTGTTACAGTTTGCATTTAATATTATTTTGTATTAGTTTCAGGTGTACAGCATTGTGGTTAGCAGAATATTCTTTTAAAACAAATTATTTACTTATTTTTAGACGGAGGAGAAGGGAGAAAGAGAGGGAAAGAAACATCAATATATGGTTGCCTCTCACACGCCCCCTACTGGGGACCTAGCCCACAACCCAGGCATGTGCCCTCCTGACTAGGAATCAAACCAGTGACCCTTTGGTTCACAGGCTGTGGCTCAATCCATTGAGCCACACCAGCCAAGGCAGAATATTCTTTATAAATATCAACTCTTCATGAGTTAGAAATACATTACTTCTTGGTTCTGCTTCACTAAAATCAAAGTATCTGAATTCTCTCACCATCATTTGGTATCAGTTAAATCTATGTTTTATATTTAAGTTTTTGTTTTTCTCTAATGTTTACTTTATGGGTTCAAATATAATTTGCTGCTGTGAAAATATCCATTGCTCTGGGGAAAAAAACCACATTATTAGCACTTTTTTTCCAGGAAAGAATGAGTATTTGACAGGATGTATATGTCTTATTAATTCAAGGCATACAAGTAGAATACAGGTCAAACTCTGTTTCGACAAATTCCAATGTTCCAAAAACCTTGGAATAATGATGGCCCCCAAAAATGCAATACAACATTGTGGTCTTTAGCCTTTAGTGTAAGGCACTCAGTAAAATATAGCTCTATATAGTTCTGAGGGACATTTGGATGCCAAGAGATTCTAACATAGGGAAGCAGACACTGAACATCTAAGTCATTAAAGATTCAATAACAGGAAGTGTTAAACTACCTTAATATCAGTACTTCATGGTTCCCCATTTATACCTGTACACAATTCACACATATGGTAAGTAGGCTGCATAATGTTTATGTATAAAAATTTATAAAAATTTGCCCTGGCTGGTGTGGCTCAGTGGATTGAGTGCTGCTCTGTGAATCGAAAGGTTACCGGTTCGATTCCCAGTGAGGGCATGTGCCTGGGTTGTGGGCCAGGTCCTCAGTTGAGAGGTACATACAAGGCAACCACACATTGATGCTTCTCTTCCTCTTTTTCCCTCCCCCTCTCTCTAAAAAGAAATAAAAAATTTTAACAATTTATAAAAAGTTGCCAAGGTCCAGGACTGCTCAAAGTTTAATAGTCTCTTTAGAATTTGTAATGATAGGATTCAATCCGTACAATGTAAACATCTCTAATATGTCTTTATTGTCAAAAAAGTATGAATTTACATATGAACTATTTAAAAAGAAAATTAATTTCTTCATAATTAAAAAAACATAATCTACTTTAAATGTGATCATTTATCCTCTTCCTCTTAAAGCAGGTTGCTTAAAAAGTCATTTATTTTTACAAACTTCAATTAAAAATTTCAGTTGACTACATTAAACAGAGACCAGGCATTCTATTAGCAAAATCCTAAATCAAATTTGAATGTCCATACAGATTCTTTCTTTTCTACAAGAGCTGAATACTTTTATAAACTGCCTTTAAGAATAGTGTAGACTCTACAGAAGTCTAATAAACTCCAAATGAATAAGGCTATCAAGAAATAAAGTAAAATAAAATAAAAAAGATTTTAAAAACCTTATGCGGATAACTGAAAGTTTAAAAAGTATACAGATGATCCTTTAAAAGCAAGAGATCTAATGAATGGCTATGTTCCTGAAGAACGTATTATACTGAAGTGGGTATTTGGCAGCCTTTGCTTCTTGCAGCCCAGATTTGTAAATCGTGAATCAGAAAGGCTTTTTGCAAATCGTGAATCAGAAAGGCTTTTCCAACACCATTAGTTAAATTCGCTCCTGCATTCAATACCAGGATAATATACTCCTGTCCAATCTATACGTTTGAAAGGAAACTTTCATTTTTTCCCCAAAGGATTTTAATTAAAAGAAGAGAAATCCACTCTGGCTGGTGTGGCTTAGTGGACTGAGTGCCACTGGCCTAAAAATCAATGGGTTGCCAGTTCGATTCCCAGTCAGGGCACATGCTTGGGTTGTGGGCCAGGTCCCCAGTAGGGGGTGCAGAAGGAGCAATCACACACCGATGTTTCTCTCCCTCCCTTCCTCTAAGGGTGAACAAATGAAATCTAAAAGGAAAAAAAAGGACAAATCCTCTACATAAGCTTTATATAATCCATGTGCCAAATGATTTAACTACATGTCCAATGTCATTTCACACCAGCCTTGACCCTGGCTCCTTCAGTGGCTTTACTTACTCATTCAAATAACCAGTATTTACTGATTGCATTCTATATACCATGTGTAAAGCACTGAGGGCAATAAAAAGATGTGCATCATAGTCTCAACATTTAAACTGCTTCAATTTCATGTAAGGTAGAGAAGACTATGAGTGAAATCCATATGTGATTTTCAGATTTCTTCCTGAAAAGTTTTCTTATATAAAAATTATTTTTCATGTGAAAGATAGGTGCAGCTAGTACATGGATAGAGTGGCACCCCACAAAACACACACACACACACACACACACACACGTGACCAAAAAAAACATCTTGAATTTAAAATTAATACATAGTGAAAAAACAGTGGTAGAAATCTTCATTTCCATTTTTCTACCTTTAATTATTTACTTGTATGTGAAAAAAATTGATAATAATCATGCATTTAATAATTACATTGGACTGCCCTGGCTGGTGTAGCTCAGTGGATTGAGCACGGGCCTATGAACCAGACAATCGTGGTTCGATTCCCAGTCAGGGCATATGCCTGGGTTGCAGGCTGGTTCCCTGCAGGCCAGTTTCCAGCAGGGGATGCACAAAAGGCAACCATACATTGATGTTTCTCTCCCTCTCTCCTTCCCTTCCCCTCTAAAGATAAATAAATAAAATTAAAAAAAATAATAATTACACTGGACTGAAATAAAATACAGACTTTCAGAATCAGAACTGATATATATAATAAAAACAGTCTGCTCATTTCATTCTCTCTCATAAACATTCTTAAAGATAGTCACAAATATTGAACTAAGCCCTGAATAGTCTTACTTTATCCTTCATCCCCAATCTGAAATATAGAAATCCCTATGTGCCATTTATCAACATCATTCCATATCTGAAAATTTGCACTCTACATAACCACAGTAGGTAGAGTCAATAGTTACTTGGTTAGCTAAATATTTTAAAACAGATTCTGAGTCACACTAATATTGTTCTAGCCACTATAATTAATATTTAAATGAACTTCTTGTGGGTAAATAATGGCCTAGGGTCCCTTTGGATGATGTTCAACTGACGATATTACTTTTCCAACAAAAACTATAAAAACATATAGCCTGTACCTATAAGTATATTGTGTACCTTGAACAAACTTTTCTACGTAAATTTTGGGCTCTATTCTTTTCCGCTGTGATTTTCAGGATGTGGCAGAATTCATAAATACCTATTAATATTTTTAAAAGCGTGTGAAATTATTTATTTATTTATTTTTAGAGAGAGAGGAAGGGAGAGAGAAAGAGAGGGAGAGGAACGTCCATGTGTGGTTGCTTCTTATGTAGCCCCCACTGGGGACCTGACCTACAACCCAGGCATGTGCCTTGACTGGGAATTGAACTGGTGACCCTTTGGTTCACAGCTCATGCTCAATCCACTGAGCTACACCAGCCAGGGCTGGAATTTTTCTATACAACCAGATTTACCACCATGAATAGTACTGGAGTCATTCTTTTAAATAGTCCCTTTCCCCCTCTTCGTTTATTGCACTTGCACCTTCTTAAAAGTACAGATGGTAGTATGGAAAAATATAAATCTAAAGGGCTGAAATGTATCACTGTTCAAATTACCTATGTGATTTGGAAAGTAATGGAGGGTTGGGAATTGGTCTAGGATACAAGATCAGTGTTGCTCATTTTTGTGCTTCAACAAAAGTTCAGTGCAATAAACTAAACTCATATCCTAAAGAACAAGAGGGAAGGGTCTCAGTAGGAAAAATCAGTAAAACAAACACTGTTATGGCATATGTCACTGCTAAATCATATTTGGTGGTACTTGCCTAGTTATTCCTGCCAAGAAGTTAAATAAATGTATTTCCTAATGCCTTCCATAAAATCAGATTCATGATTCATAATTATTCAATCACTTCTCAATACTCAGAGGACACATTAAAATTAGAGCTTTTCCCATCACCCCATTGTAAATTTATATTCTAATTAGTAAATAGTATACATATTGTTCTTTTGCTTCCTACAGATAACTATTTTTTTAAGCAAAACTTTTTGAAATAAACCTGGTTTATTTTTCTTCTAGATCAGGAGGGAAGAAAAAAAACAGCTATAAAAGACATTCTGGGGGATGGGAGAAAAAGACAGAAAACTGTACTTGAAAAATAAGTAAATAAAAAAAAAAAAAGACGTTCTGGGGACAACTGATGATATTCAGTATTATTTGTTATTGATATTATTAGAGACATACTAAAGTACTCCAGAAATGTCAAATATCAACAATTAAAGCAAATGTGGCAAAAAGTTAGCAACTGGTAAATCTAGGTGAAGAATATAAGGGTGTTAAATGTATCATTCTAAAGCTTTTAAAAGTTTCAACACTGCCCTGGCTGGTTGGCTCAGTTAGTTGGAGTTCAGTCTGGTAACTTAAGGGTAGTGGGTTCAATTCTGGTCAGGGCACATTCTAGGTTCAGTCCCCAGTTCCAGCGAGTACAGGAGGCAACCAGTTGATGTTTCCCTCTCACATGAATGTTTCTCTCTCTCCCTTCCTCTCTCTAAAAAGCAATGGAAAAATGTCTTTTGGTAAGGATAAGAAAAAAATTTTTCAGCATAAAAATTTAAGGAGAAAAATGCTATTGATTTCTTAAAATTGAATCGGAATTAGCCTTATCAGTTAATAAATTTATGAAAAAGAGTTACCTTTTGTAATTCTTCCTAAGTAATGTCATAAATAAAGGCTTTTCCAATGAAAACTGATCAAAGGCATTTCCTATTCATAAAAGCATTCTAAATAGCTATGCATTAGAGTAGTTTTAACAAAGTTTGAGAACAAAAAATGTGTTACACTTAGATCAAGCAGGTTAAGTTTTCTCAGTTAACTGTGGGACTTACCTATCCATGTCATCTTCTCCAAGTAACAAGGGTGGGAGGGGCAGAGGAGGCAACGTTGATGTTTTTAGGTGTGGAATAGCAGCTGTTACAGATAATTGAGTCTTCAAAGAAACCTGTACAGGGGGCTGAGAATTTGCCTGAGAGGACAGAGTAGACGTCCTTGGGTGAGTAGAAGGGGGCAAAGCTGAAGTGCTAGTAACAGGAACCTGACTAAATGCTGGTTGGGGAGGAGGGAGAGGTGGTTGCTGTGGAACAGCTGGTAGTGGAGGTAAAGGTGGCAATGGGGGTGTCTGAGGTGGAGGGGTAGTAGTTGGTAAAGGAGGTGGAGAAGAAACTGTGGGGAGAGGTGGAAGGCTCTCCTTTTCTGATGTCTCTGTCTCTTTTGGAGTAACAATCTCCTCCTTCAACACCATTGGTTTAGAGTCTTTTGTTCCCTCCACTTTCAAATCTTTAAGAACAGGATGCTTCTCAGAGTTCTCATCCACCTTTACTTTCCCTGTATCTAAAGAATTTTTGGCCTCTGCATTTAGATGTGTTACATTCACTAGTTCAGTATCTGGGGCAGATTTTTCCAATTTTAAACCTCTGGGTAACTTTTTAGACTCCAAACCCATATCCTTAGCCTCTACTGAACTGTTCTCTTTTCTAGACAAAATAATAGGTGAACCCTTGGATTCCTTTCCATCCATTTTTGCTGCAGCAGCAGCTGCTGCTCTTTCCTTCTTCTTCCTACTGAGTTCAGCTCCCAAGCTGGAGTTCAATGGAAGCCTGACAGGTGAGATACTGGAATGTCGACTACGTGACCCGGATCTCTTCTTTTTACTATGAGAAGATGAGTGTCTTGAATATGCGGGACTTCTACTTCTAGACTTCAAGGATTTCCTAATGGAAAAAGAAAAAGGCAGTTTAATGAATATGCAATAGCAATATAAAGGCAAATACACCAGTTACGGGAAACTGTAACTTAAAAAACCCACTTTTGCCCTGGCTGGTGTAGCCCGGTGGATAGGGTACTGGCCTGTGGACTGAAAAGTTGCAGGTTTGATTTCAGTCAGGGCACATGACTGAGTTGTGGGCCCAGATCCCAGTTGGGGGCCTGAGAGAGGAAACTGATCACACATCAATGTTTCTCTCCCTCTCTCCCTCCCCCTCCATCTAAAAATAAACAAATAAAATATTTTTAAAAAACAAGCAAAACCCACTTTTGAGCCCTGGCCAGGCAGCTCAGCTGGTTAGAGTGTTGTCTCATGCACCAAGGTTGCAGGCTCCATCTGGGGTCAGGACACATACAAGAAGTAACCAATGAATGCATAAATAAGTTTGAACAACCCATCAATCTCTCTCTCCCTTTCTGTCTCTCTCGAAAGTTCAATAAAAAAAAATTTTTAAGCCCCACTTTGAGTAAGTTAGCAATCTTAAAAATAGATTAGGTATCAAATAACAATAAACCAATACTGGTTCATTAATTATAACAAATGTACCATACTAATGTAAGATATTAATAATGGGGAAACTGGGTGCCAGGACATGTAAGAACTCTTTGTGCATCTTCAAAATTTTTCTGTAAATCTAAGAATATTCTTTAATAGTTTATCTAAAAAATAAATTAGAAAAAAATCCTGTATAACATATTTCAATCATATAACACTAGAAATTATTTAACTTAAGGAAGGCAGATTGATATGTTTCTCTATGCTAGAAAATACCCAAATTCACTTTTACCAATATCTACTTTAGAATTTTGGTTTAAATTTCTGAAAAAATAAAAACATAAGTCATATTTTATACTAAAGGTGGGTTATATTAATTAGGAAATGAGAAGTACCATAATTAGCATATCTCACCAAAATGTAAATTTTTTTAAACTAGAGAACTATTTAATGGACAGATCCCAGGAAAAGATTTTGTTCCTTATATCCTCAGTTTATAATTAAGTTGTGCCTATACTAAACAAACCTCCAAAATATAAGAGTTAGACCTATACAAAATATATAAACTAGAGAAACTGTCTTACCAAAATAACTTATTAGAAGTTCCCAAAACTATAATGGCTTCTGATACTTTCAAATATAAAATGATTTCTAATCAACCTTTTAGGAATTCATAAAGCAAAGTATTATTATTATTATATTATTATTTTTTAAAAATCCTTACCCAAGGATATTATTGATTTTAGAGGCAAAGGGAGAAAGAGAAATACCGACTGGTTGTATACCATATGTACCCCAACAAGAGATGGAAACCAGAGCCTTATAACCTTTTTGGTGTATGAAATGATGCTCCAATCAATCAAGCAACCCAGCTAGGGCAAGCAAGATATTACTGCATGTTCAATTTATTTTCATTAAGGAAGGATTGGGAAGTGAAATCTAATCTATGAGGCAGATGGTTCTCAATGGAAACCCAACTCTCATTAATTCTTTTTGCTTTTTAATATAGGCTAATGTGCTTAGGCTTCAAGGTGAAGGGAGGGGTGAAACTAGCACTACAAGTATAATTGAACAAAACATAATTTGCCCAGTAGTCCAAAACAAATTGTTTCCATTCCAGATCTTCAGTATCACTCTTCATTTTTAATCACTGGTAAGACTGGCATGAATCAAAATGTTTCAAAACAAATAGCATATATCTGTAGAAGAAACAACTCACACGATGTTAAACATGTTTTTTTTTTACTGTTTTTTGGAAGTTTGCTCTGAGAGCTTAGTTAAAATATAAAGCCGTTATTAGATTTGAAGTACTCAAAACAATGACAGCATACATATGAAATGATGATACAAACTACTGAAAGTAGATAAGTGGATTTACCAAATACCCACTTACCTGTAAGAAAATTAATACTTCTCTTGTAAAAAACTGGCTGAAACAAGAGGTTTTCTCTGAATTATAGCTGGGACAAAACTAACACCTCTATCCAGGAAAAACTTCTACAATCCCAAACACTAAGTAATGTCAGAAACCACGCTATACAAAGCATTGTCTCTATAATCTTTCAACTCAACTTCCTAAATCCTAAGGAACTTTGCTAAATACCCTTGAATTTCTGAACAGAAGCCTATTGTTAATGGGACATCTAGACTAGCCACATACTTAAGGTATTTTTTTGATAAAAATGCTATATTTGAGATCCAGATGCACTCTTCAAAGGAATAAAAAAGGGGGGGATGACAACAAATAGGTAAATTGAGGCAACAATAAAAAATTAGTCCTAAAAAAACAAAACAAAACATATTTTTTTGCCCTGGCTGGTGTGGCTCAGTGGATTGAAGGCCGGCTTGAGAACCGAAGGGTTGCTGGTTTGATTCCCAGTGAGGGCACATGCCTGGGTTTGGGGCCAGGCTCCCCAGTAAGGGGTGCGGGAGAGGAAACCACACACTGATGTTTTTTTCCCTCCCTTCCTCTCTCCAAAAATAAATGGATAAAATCTTTTTTTTTAATGTATTTTTTCCCTGAATTAAGTGAGGTTGCACCCATCTACTAATCACTACTAATTTGGTAAATGCAAAGACCTTGCATTTCTGCCAAAGCATTTTGTCTTTTTAATTTTGACTCTTGACTCAGGATGGGCATCAGGAAGTGGGTATAAGGGGACTAAATGGTAATGTAAAAAAAAATAAATAAATAAAAAACTCATTAAAAAATAAAATAAAAATTTGACTCTCTCCCAAAGAAAAAACACACAAAATACCATAAAGAGGACCTGTATGTTCCTCTAGTCTTACACTAAAAAATTTTTGTACTTAATTGTTTGAAATTCCAATGAATGAGGGAAAATATGTAATACACAACACAAACATATGATGGTCTTTACCAATCAACTAAAAATGTGCACACAACTCTAGCATTATTATGTAGTACTTGTATTTGTGCCCTATACCATTTAGGGTGTCTCTTCTTTTTTTTTTTTCACCATTTCTGCACTAGTTCCAACTAAGTGAATAGAAGAGAGAACTTGAAACATGAATCCAAAAGAGATCACTGCAAAGCCACAGTTCTTACTGAAACTTGTTTTAATGTTTTAACCTCAATGTACTTCTATATTCTCAAACTACACAACAATATAAATTCTCAGAATAGCCTTATTAAACTACTCCCTCGAGAAAACAAATATTCTTAGATTACTCCTCAGGGTTCCTTAAAAAACTAAACAACTTTACAAATAGTACATACTTAAGGCATCCATTTCCCTGTACATAAATTTTACCTCTCATTAGTGATGAACTCTAGCTAATAGTATACCTGTTAAAGCATTTACAGAGAAGTATACTGATGTCAGCAACTGATTTTGAGATAAAACAAAAGATGGATTGACAGAGAGGTAGACACACGTAGACATAAAACATATAGCAAATACTAATTGCAGAATGCAAGTGGTACAAAGCTCTGGCCAGGTAGTTCAGCTGGTTAGAGCATCATCCTGATACACCAAGGTGTGGGTTGGATTCCAGGTCAGCCAGCGCACATACAAGAATCAACCAATGAATGCATCAAGTGGAACAACAAAATTAATGTTTCTCTATCTAGAAAAATCAATTAAAAAATTTAAAACAATACAGATGGTACATTTATGGGTCCTCACTACAATTCTTTTAACTTTTCTGTGTTCGAAAAATTATAATGAAGTGGAGGAAAAAAGACTTAGTTCCTGACTGCTAGGAACTCTGCAGCCCAACTTGTTCGAACTAGTTTATGAATAATTATATAACTTTAAGTCAGCAAAAATTACTCATATTGGCATATTAAAGATATGCACAGGTTTTTTTCAGGTTAAAATAATTTCTCTACTGGTATTCAACAACACGTTTTCCTTTCTTATAGAATTCTCTAACGTTCCAGTACCAGGCACTGTGCTATGAACTCCGTATTTACTAATTTAATCCCCACAACAACTCTAAAAGTTGGTGGTTATTATTCTCATTTTACACATGAAAAAACTCAGGCATGGAAAAATTAAGGTATTTGCCAAAGGACACAAAGCAAGATTAGGATTCCACTCAGGTATAACTCCAACATCCATGTTCTGCTTTTGTGGACAAATGTTGAGTCCACAAAGAAGGAGGTACATCTCATCAACTACAAACAAGAACACAGTTTCCTGTTCATACTAACAATTAAATTTCAAACTAAAATGCCTTTCTTGCAAAAATAACACAGTAAGGGCACTATTACCATTTTTTAGAGAAAGATTTAAAAAATTGCCACTGGTCAGAGTAGGTCAATGGTGATGCTGTAAAGAAAATAAAATTATCGTTGGAGCCAATTTCTGCTAGGCTCTACCATCAAAAGGAAAAAGGACTTAGCTAAATTTCAACTAGAAATATCTGTGAAAAGACAGGAGTCTTTTGTAAGCTATCAAATTATTGTCAATTAGGAAATAAATAAACTTAAGTTTGAAGACTCAGTGAACAGAACAAATGGTAGATGACCTAAGCGAACAAGGTAATTCAAATGAAATTTGTCTCTAATCAGGTCCAATTAAGTCTAAAGTACTAATACCAATGTCATTTAAAATTTTAAAACAAGGCAACACGAACAGCTAGATAAGATTTGGAAGCCAGTATCAATTCTATGAACTTAACAGAAGCCTATGATTTTTCTCATACAGGAACTTGCAGCTGAAGATCCTACCTCTGGAAGTACCTACCTTTAGCAGTTTTAGGCATGCAACTTTCTCCCCTTTTCAAATTCTGGGTTCAGAAGAGACCAGATTCACTCACTTGAATGACTGGCCAACAGTAAAGTGTTCTTAGTCAATAAACAATGAAGATTTCAACGAAGCATTGCTAATTGCCAGTTCGTTATAAACCAACCTAAGAAAGGACTGTTAGACGAATTGCTCACCTGGGGAGTGGACTCCGACTCAGAGAACGTTTGCTGGTGAAAGGGCTGCTGGACCTCCTTCGACCGTAGGGACTGGGTGACCTCCCACTGTAAGAGCCACTCCTTTCATAACTGGACGACCGTCTCCGGCTATAGGGACTCACAGACCTCTGCCGTCTGCTGTAGGGACTGGGTGACCGGGTGCTGGACTGGTAGGCCGAAGGCTCCTTGTAAGGTGGGCTAATAGACTGCCTTCTTGAGGTACTTCCAGGACTCTTCTTGTACGAGTCATAATTGCTGGAGGTGTGAGATCTTGGGGGACTCAGGTCATAATCTTGGCCGTAAGAAGCTCCTGAGGGGCTATCATCTTGCTTGGGGCTGTCAGACCATTTCCTGTGGGGACTCCTGGACCTCCGTTTGGGGCTGTCCACTGTTTTATAACTTTTGGGTGTTTCCCTTTTCCGATGACTTTTACTCCGGTCTTTGTGCCCAGACTTCAACTCACGTTCCTTCCGGGCCTTCTCCTTGTGAAGTTTGGATGACCTGAATTCCTTGTTGCTGCTGCTTTTGGAAATCTGTGCCTTCCCATAGTCATCATTTTCCTCATTTGAACGCTTTGAACTTCCTGATATCCGGTCCTTCATCGATCCCGACTTGCTGGAAACTTCCTGGTTTTTTTCTTTTTCTGTCTGTTTACTTTTTATTAAATCCCGGGAACGTCGGTGCTGGTGGTGACGATGTTTGTGCAAGCGGTCACTTCGATCAGTTCCACGACGTTCATCATTCTCCCTCCTGTCTGGTTTGAAGACTATGTCGTCAGAGAAGGTATCGGAATCAGAGCTGATGTCATCATACTCCACCAAAGGTTTGATCATTGTACCCAAAGGTGCTGCTTCGGGGGTCACCAACCCCATGTCTTTGGAGTGCTTGGACTTGTGCCGCTTGTGCTTCGACACCAAGCGGTGACGCTCTCTGCTGTTGGAGCTGCCACCTCCCGATGACGGCTGCAAAGTTCCAGAAGCGCCTCCACTCCCGTCCTTCTTGCCCCCATGTCTCTCTGGATTGGGCATCCCCTTTCCCCTGGCCTCAAAAGGGGGAAAAAGTTCCCCAGCACTCCAAAAAGTAACCCCCACCCTCCCCCCAACCCCAACCCCAACCCCACGCCTACCAAAGCGCTCGTCGAAGGGGGTTGGGAGGGAAGGGACCGTGGCGCAGGCTCCTCCTCCCTCCCGACTCCTCGGCACCCTCCTACATGAGGGTGAAGGAGCCAGGGAAGAAATGAGAGTTCCTCAGCAGTGGAGTTGCGAGACCACCGGCAGCCGCTCAAGTCCGTTTGCCGTCTTCCCCACGCAGAGCCAATCCTCAGTCCCGGGGGCCCGGGAGGTCGAGGAAGTAGGAAGCCGACGGCCGGGGGCTGTAGGGCCGACTTCAGGTCTGAAGCCCAGGGAGGACTACGCGGGCCTTCTCCCGCCCGGTAGCCCGGCTCCGGGTGGCTTCCTGTTGCTCGGGTTCCGCGGCTTAGGTGCCTCACACCCTCTTTGTCCCTCGCTCCTGAGGGAGCCCCTTTTCCTGCCTCCGCCTCACCTCAATACCTCACACACTCACTCGTTCCCTCACAGACTCAGTCACACACTAGGTTAAACCGAAACGGCACTTGGAGGAGGGGGAGGGGCAACCCCAAGAAATATCGCGAGAATGCTAAGCTCGCGCTATTTCGTGCTCCCCTTTCACCTCTCCCTACCGCTTGATCCAAAGGACGCGAGAACAGGTACCCAGGAGCCAAACGGGGTCCTCCGTATTCTCGCGATAAGCTCCTCGCTTCCCATTTGATCAAAGCATTAGGGATATAGAGTTAGGAGAATTTTTTAAATTAAAAACTTTATTGATAACTGTTTGAACAAATAGTTGGCAGACTCCTGCGTAAACTAATTTTTTCGTACCTTTTAGCTACCAGGAATGTTAGATAGGACAAAAATCTCAAGGTCTGGGTCGTTCTTGCTAAATGCTACTCTTGCTGTTAAAATGTAGCAACGGTATTTTGCAAATCACCTGTAAAAACAAGGTGAGCCCTAATCGGTTTGACTCAGTTTCTTGGGCGTGGTCTGCAACCCGAAAGGCCCTTGGCTCCATTCTGTTGAGGGCACGTGTCTGGGTTCTGGGTTCGTCTGGGTAGGGGTGAGTGCGATAGGCAACTGGTCCCTGTGTCACTTTTGCACCCCTGTTTCTCTCTCTCCCTTTCCCTCTCTCTAAAAATAAGTAAATATAATTTAAAACAAACAACAGGGTTGAGCTTGATAGGACCCCAACCACTCAATTGCAAAGAAATCAACAGTGTAATTGACCAAAAAGTATATAAGCAATGACTAAGTTTCCTTTGGAGGTTGGATTATGTATCCCCTGTCTCCTCGTTTTACTTGTTTCAAATAAATTAAACTACCTTGGGACCTCTCATTTCTGAATGGAGCACTTAAAGCCGCCGGACCCTTGAATTCGGCAAGAGGATGAAAATAAAGTCTACAGGACACGGGACAAATGTGGGGACATTTCTTCTCAAGTCCCTAAACATTAACAACGCTTACAACTTACATAGCGTAAAATACGTGCATTATCTCTAATTCTCATATTACCCTGTAAAACAAGATAGTCTCATTCCTATTTTACAGGTAAGGAAACCTAGACTCGGAGAAGTTAAATAAACTTACTCAAGTTAATATAGTCCAGCAAGTGCTAAAGATGAGATTCACATTAATGTCTGACACTAACGCACAAGCTCTTTCATTGTGTGGCACTCTTTCCAATTGGCTTAAAATCTAAGAACCTGAAAGCTCATCACCTGTTGGGATCATCTGTGACTCTCCCAAAGTTATTGAGCCTTTTATCTCCAGAAGATTATAACTATGAACAAGAAAAGAATAATATTTATGTATAAGAAAAGCATCTTACACTGCCTTTTTTTTTTTTTTTTTACTTTTTGAAACTCCTTTGCACACATTAATTCATTCCATCTTCACAACAACTCTCTTAAATCGGGTTGTGCATGATAGGAAACTGAAGCACAGAAAAGTTGTGACTTTTCCAAGCTTATCCACTCTTTTCTTCAACAAATTTACCTGTGAGATTTTGAGGCCTTTCTCTGTGTAACAGTGTCCACTAAGGGCCCCCTAAGAAGATGTAGACAATATAGTCATACCATAGATATATCATAAGAATAATACAGAGTACTGCCTGGGTTGAAAAGGAGAAAATAAGAGAAAACTGCATTTCTGCCCTTTAAAGGGCAGTTGAGTTGGGCCAAGAAGAATAGATAGGATGTGTATAGACCAAAAAATCAGGAGCTAGAAAACATTCTAAGTGAAGAAAAAAGAATCCACTCTCAAAAATCACTCCCTGAAAATGGTCTTTTTGCTTTTGGTTACATGGGTACTAAAAAAAAAGTTTTTACTTTAAATGTTAGAGTCCATAAATCTTGATTACAAAGGGAAAGAACAAAACTTTTCATGATAACTTTTTTTTAAAATATTTTATTTATTTATTTTTAGAGAGAGGGAAAGGGAGGGAGAGAAACATCAATGTGTGGTTGCCTGTTGTGCGCTCCCCTACTGGGGACCTGGCCCACAACCCAGGCATGTGCCCTGATTGGGAATTGAACTGGTGACCCTTTGGTTCAATCCACTGAGCTACACCAGCCAGGGCTCATGATAAATTTTTAATCATCTATGGAAATAGTCAAACTAGTGCTATCAAGAAAACAGGAAGAGAAAAACCAGGATAGACTTAAGTACTGGAATTCAGGTGTGGTAAATTTCCATCATTGCTGCAAGAGGGCCTGGATGTAAAGGGCCCCGCCAGTGTCTTACATGATGGTAGATGGCATGAGATTTCATGGGCCAATTAGATGAAGTGACTGGCCTATCTTATTAAACACTGGCATGAGTTCAGCAAAATTACTGTGATTTGTTTTCTTGTGCGATCAAGTTTTTGACCCAGATACACCCACACCCACAGTAAGATAGAAAAGTGGGGATGACAAAAAGAATTATGACAATGTATCAAATAAAATCTTGAAAAATAAAATTTGTCATCAAAATTAAACAGCATTAATTGTACTTATAATAATTATGTGTTTGTTACCTACTGAAATAGACTACAGACCCCTAATAATGAATGAATAAATGAAACTTTTTACGGAATTTGTATATCTTATGTGTTTATATCACTTTTCAGTTTTCTGCAGAATTCTTTTAAGCCTATCAATAAATATCAGCTGAACCAATAAACAACTTGGTACAGTGGCCATGATGGGTATTATTATATTCATTTACTAAAGAATAAAATTGACACTTAGAAGGAGTTGGAGCATCATTACAGTAAGTGTAGTTAGTTCCAGGGACAGGGACAGCTCTTTCTTTAATCCTAGGCCATCACTCTTTCGATTAGACTACACTTTCTGGTTTTGGTGGGAAAATTCTATTCTAGGAAATCTCAGATTGTGTCCAAATTTTAAAACACAAAATCTACTCTCACCTGCATGCTTTGGCCCCAAAACTGGTGAGAATAGTGTTTTTGTAAAATAAGGGCTGCTTCACTCTACTGAAAAACAAACAAAGATTGCATGATTTAGTTTATTTGCATGACCTCCCAGGACAGGGAGTCAGGGCAGATCAATGAACCCCAAGAAGATCAGTCAAGTGATAATTATGGTTTCCCTCTAAATTCCCAAAGCAGCTCAGAAAGTTTCTATTGAAGCTGTATATGAAGAAACTATTTAACTAAAGTTACAATAATTTATTATCCCTATTAAAATTTGCCTATTTCCCCTTCTTTTAAAAATATTTTATTTATTCATTCATTCATTCACTCGTTCGTTTATTCATTCATTCATTTATGTATTTATAGAGAGGAGGAAGGAGGGAGAAAGAGTCGGAGAGAAACATCAGTGTGTGGTTACCTCTCATGTGTACCCTACCGGGGACCTAGCCCGTAACCCAGGCATGTGCCCTGACTGGGAATAGAACAGGCAACCCTTTGGTTCACATGCCAGCACTCAATCCACTGAGCCACACCAGCCAGGGCGTAAATTTAATCTTTATTATATTATTTTCTCCTTTACCACTTAGTCCCCTTATATCCCCTCCCCTAGCAATCACCACACTGTTGTCCATACCTTCACTCCCTAACCTCAATGCCTCCACTCCCTAACCTATCCTCGCCACTCCCACGTCCCCCCTCCACCTAGCTGTCATGACAGATGATAGCTGTCATCTAGGAGTCTGTCCCATTTTCCTTGTCAGCTCAGTTTGTTCATTATATTGCAGTTTGTTCATTATATGTGCAATATAATGCTATTTCTCTTTTTCTGACTTGCTTATTTCACTTAGCTTAATGTTCTCCAGGTCCACCCACACAAAATACCAGTCTCAAGAACAACAGACCAACGTCACCTATCAACCACCAAACCTACCTAAGTCTGAGACTACCGAAATCTAAGGGAAAGCTGGGTTAGTAGAATCTCCCGAGAACAGCAGTATTCCTTTCTCGCGATAGTTTGGTCCACCTCCCTTTTCCTCTGTCTCGGAGGATCACTGTTAATCTCGCGATCTTTGGGAAGTTCCGTTGGGGAAGATGGCGGCGGCCGGGAGCACCCTTCTCTTCTTGCCGCCAGGGACTTCAGACTGAGCCTTCCTGGGAAAAGTGGGGAGTACTGGTGCTCTGCGTCCTGGGAGCCCGAACTAACTTGATTCCTCCGTTAGTGGTGGGGGACGGCTTATCCTCTTGTGTAGGACTCAGGCCTTCCCCACTGTCAGGATGAAGGCTCAGGGGGAAACCGAGGGTGAGTAAACTGAAGGGAAAAGCAGGGGGGCGCGACACAGCTGGGGGGAGCCAATCTGAGAGGAGCTGGGGTCGGATCCGTTCGCGAAGGCCACTCTCCGGAGGATGTAGAGTCCAGGAGGCGGGATTTGTGTGAGTTTTAGGTTTTGATTGCCTTCCCTGGTGGTGGAGAGCTCCGACTTTGGGGTGACGGGGGCTCCCAACTTCTGTGAATGTTCTGCTTAGATAGGGGCAGTTATTGGTCCTCAGGGAATTTGATCCTAAAATTATGGAAGACCAGGCTAGTGAATATAAAATCATTCTTATACATCGTTCTAGAGGAGACGTCTGAATAATGACATAAGAACAATAATACAGAGCTGTTCATCAAAGTACTGGAGGGTGTTTTTGCTTGAGTGAAATGATTAGGTCCCTGTGATATTGAAAGCCAGCGGTTCCCTACAGCGTCACCGTGTTCAGATCTTGTACTATCGTATATTTTTAAAAAATGCGTTTGGTTTTCATCTTTTCAGTGGCTGGACTAACTCAAGAACTGAAAACAACTTTTCCGTGGAACCTTACTTTGATTCTCCAAAGTTCTACACTGCAGTTTAAACGCTTTCACAATATTTTGGACATAGTTCTGTTACAAATACAGCTCACTGTAGTATTTTTTTCTTTGCTACTTTATTCTAAACTCTGTAGATCAGGGACCTTGCCTTACTTATCATTGTACATTCCCTGGGATATGAATAGTTGCTCAAAAAGTGTTTGATTTGAGAATTAATATAAAGATATTTGTCATCGGCTTTCTCAAGGAAAAGAAGAGGGATATGTTTTAAAGTGGAGAAAGAAGAAAGATTTGCTC